ATCCCGGGAACCAAAAATACCATTGCCAAAGAATCTACAACACATGGAATGGTTTTTGGAAACCTGCCGTTGTTAGCAGAATGCAGTAGGGAGGGGTCAGCACAGTGGTTGATACCATAGATAGAATATGAAAGAATATAGAAGAATATGGGGATGGATCAAAACCTTCTGTCCCAATTACACCCAATTCTATACAGATTACTTTTTAAAGTAGCTGGTTTTGATCGATGTCCAAATTCAAAATCTCCAGGAGGTCCGGTGAGCACACCAACTCAATTACAAAATTGCACATCTTAAATAATCAACTATCAATTTTGTAGGGGTGATCATTTTACCCACACCCATTCCTTTATTGGGTTTGACTATTTGGGCATCCCGGGAACCAAAAATACCATTGCCAAAGAATCTACAACACATGGAATGGTTTTTGGAAACCTGCCGTTGTTAGCAGAATGCAGTAGGGAGGGGTCAGCACAGTGGTTGATACCATAGATAGAATATGAAGGAATATAGAAGAATATGGGGATGGATCAAAACTTCTGTCCCAATTACACCCAATTCTATACAGATTACTTTTTAAAGTATCCGATTTTGATCGATGTCCAAATTCAAAATCTCCAGGAGGTCCGGTGAGCACACTGTAGCTAAATGGGTACGGGTCAAATTTGGCCCCAGCTCAATTTCAAAATTTCACATCTTAAAAAATCAACTATCAATTTTGGGGTGTGATAATTTGACCCACACCCATTCCTTTCTTGGATTTGACTATTGAATACCACTGCCAAAGGATCTATATTTCTGGGAACCACCAGCAACAGTGACAATTTCTTTGGAAGATTTTGGGCTGAAATTCGCATGCCAGAACCTAATACACCAGCATAATGACAACATTTGGTAGTCATTCCAAAGGCCCAAACAACCAAATCACAAGCTAAATGACCGCTTTTGTGATCATTTTTGAGGGACCTTTTTTTTACCAATCATCGACCCGGATTTTTGAGCCATTTTGGGATTCTATCTATAGGTTTTTTTCAGACCGTTTTTTTTTTGAAATTCCAGAGATTCTATCTACTTCAGGATGGTTATATATATATAGACATATATATATATGTGTGTGTATACACATTCACACATATGTTTATATATACATATTTGTACAAATATATATATATGTATATATATATAAACACATATATATATATACTATACATATATATATATGTGTATATGCATAAATATATATATATATGTATATGCATATATATATATATATTTATGTATATATATATATACATATATATACATATAGATATACATATATATACATATACATTTATACATGTATACATATATATAGACACACATGAAAACATAGTTATACATATATATATATGTGTGTAAATACATATTTATGCAAATAGATACACATACACATAGATATGTATATATATACATATATAGATATATACACGTATATACACATATATATACATATAAATATACACATATATGGATATATACATATATATATATACATACATATATATATACATATACATATATATATATATATACATATACATATTTACATATACACATATATACATATATGCATATATACATATATACATACATCATATATATATATAACTATTCACATCCATAAATATCATATCACATGTACATATATCATCCTTCACTATTCACCAATCTGGAAGTCGATTTCTCGAAAGAAATTCTTCAACCGCCTCTGAGATCCAAACCCTTGCCGCCGAGGGCGCCGGCGATCTTATTTTTGGCTCCAGACTTAGAGACAGCGAGGGATGTGAGCCAAAATAGAAGCCTAGCCGTAGCCTGCTGTGTTCAAAACCCGAAATTGATCGAAATTGTAATTCCATCATCCTGGTCAAAAAGGGGACTCCCATGTTGGATTATGGTATGTAATCCCCTTGCCAATAGATGAAGGGTTGTATAGCCCCCTATGATCATCAACCAACAAGGGCTCTGAACACTGCTCACATGGTTTACTGACCTATTCGGATTCCCTAAAATCGCTCATCTAGTCCTTGTCAAACATTTTACATGCGTCTTTGGCATTTTTGAGGAGTTCCAATGGACATTGTGAGTCAATATCTGAGGCCAATCACCAGTCCCTGCCCCATTGCCAGAGACACCTGCAGTTGCGACACGTGTATCACCTCTTCTCAGCTCTCTGTGATGCTGCTCTACTCAATCTGAAATCCATGCCTTGAAGATTTGCCATTAGCTTCGCTGTACTTGAGCCCAAACATCGGATGATATAGTCACGGAGTCATGGCAATATGTCGCTACAACTTCCCTCGAAGACGGATGTGTTTTTTTCATGCTTCAGCCGCTTCAGCAGTTTCAAGACTTTCCTGCTGTCACCCTTCCACACATGACTACTCTAGTACCGTGCTGTTAATACCAAAATACCTTGTAGTTGTGGACATTCATCCCTCCCTACATATAAACATCCCATGTATTAGACAAGCAAATATGGAAGATCACGGAGTTATCCAAACAATATTATAGTATATGGGGAACCACTGGCATTATCCAAACAAATATATATATATATATATATATAAATACATATATATATATATATATACATATATATATATATGTATACACTGATACACACACACATATATATATATATATACATACGCTACCCCCTACCAATAACCATAAAATAGCTTAAATCTTGATAAATGGATGGATTGCATAGTTATGACGCACTGCGTGAGCTAAAGCAAAGAGATCAAATATGTTCAGAGCGGCAAGCGGAGTAGCAAGACTAGACTGCTGCGGGCTTTGAAGAGTGCTGTGAGCTTGTCAAGAAGTTGCAAAACTGACACAACTAATAACAAGACAAGATGCGTGCACACTCCGAACATTGCAGTCATGTTGTGAAGCGTCACCCCATCCTTGTGGGTGTTCTCCTGTTCAGTTTTGTCCGACAGATCCGAGAGGGTCTCATTCAGCCAAAGACCAAACCTCTTCTTCTTGCTCACAGCAGCGCTGGCACTTGGCCGGCAGCGGAAGTACTATGGCCTCCTCATCAGTAGAGATCTCTGGCGAGGGGAGCAACGGGGGGTTCGGCACAGGGTAGTCATCATCAGAGGATATCAGAAGGAATCGCTGGCGGTGGGCCTGGGACGCGATGGGTTTGGCCAGGGAGCCTCCGGGCGCCTTTGAGCACTTGGAGTCCAATCTCCTTCGATCCCGCTTTTGAGGAGGAGCATAGGCTGGATTTTCCGCCTCAACGTCGCACCGCGTCCATTGACTTGAACTTTTCCAGCCACAAAGAAGGTAGCCATGAGTTGATGAAGGTGAGGCAGAACAGAACGAATGAGCGGCTGTGGCTTGAGGCGACCGAAAGTGAGACAGATTGAACCAAGGACGTTGAGACACAGAACAAGATGTCACTCAAAATGTGCTTTGTTAGTGAAGAACATTTGTTGCCCACAAGAGCAAACAGCAGACTGAAATTGCAGGTACTTTGCTAGGGAAGTGCCTTGAGGCTGCCGGCCCAAGCCTTGGCAATGGGGGCATTTCATTGTCTTAGACGTCTAGCAGTGAATACTGCCGACCCAAACCTTGGCCATGGGAGCGCGTCATTGTCTTGGAACCCCAGTAGATGTTACAAAGACATGTAGGTACTAAGGCACTAGTACCTCCAGTCATGTACTAGTACCTTCCCGTACCTGCCTTTGTCAGAGTCATTAAGTCCTTGTAGTGGGATATTGCCCCACGAGGATATTAAACATTGTTATAAGTATATGTACCCCCCTTGCCCTACGAGGACAACCCCCTTGGACCCAACCATGTGATAGTTTCAAGACACAAACTATTTTATCGCTTTTGAAGGGGGGGTACCATATACATATTGCAAATCAATGCCAATCATCTGTATTATCCCAAAAAAACCGGGTCCCATGGGTAGCTTGACCAATCCCCACACATTTTATTCAAATGACACGCTTAATATCTCGTGACCGCTCGTGACCGAAGCACGCAGCTGGAATTGACTCTCTGCGTCTTGAAGAACAAAATCCGCAGCAGTGGTGGGTGCTGTGCACAACAAGAATTCTGTGGGAAGCCCAATGCCATCAACCTACCATTTGGGGATAGTTTAGAGCACCCCTAAACAATTGTGATTTTGGGGATGGTTTATTATTGGGGTTGCCACATTATGTTGGATTTTGAGATCCCTAGATCCCTTGATGGTGCCCCACCTGTTGATCTCTGAAAAAATGTGTGTCAGTGTGTGTGTGTGTACTAAATAATTTGCGGATTTTGATCGAAAACGAGACACACCTATTTGAACTACTTTGCAACAATTGTTTGCACTCAGGTGTCGCTCGGTGTTCAAGCAAACCTGCCGTCCGCGATCCAAGTGTTTGGTAAAATCTGTCCATCTGTCCCCCTGCATCAAATCTCAACCGGCCCCGACCTGCGCATTAAGGCGGAGAAATCACCGCTGACCTGTGTGGATTCTCAAGAAAATCAGGGCGTCACGTCGTCACGGTGACGGTCAGGCTCGGTACAGGGTCAAAGTTTGAGAGTTGGATGTCTCAAAATTCGCAAATCTTCTTTGGGTCCACCCTGTGGAATTGGATGAAAGTGGTAATTCTATTTGTCTGCGTTGAAGTTCGAAAAACATGGGACAACGACTGAGAGGCAGACTTCAAATTGTCCACACAGGGCTGGTATTCCAGGTGCAGGTGACGACTGGTGGCAAGAGTTGAATCGTTTGTGATGTCACGACCAATGGTTTCCTAAAATGGGGGTACCCGTAAATCATCCATTTGAATCGGATGCTCCATTATGAACCCTCCATTTTTTGGGTACCCCATTTTTGGAAACCAAGATTCAACATCCTTTTGACGGTCTACAAGTGGCAACTGTGGGTCCACAGCAACCTCAGCTACCTCACGGTAGCTTGACTAAGAACGGGTAAGTCCGGCACATGATCATTGCACCATCCAACGCTGTGGTCTTGCAACATGTCCAAGCGTAAACTCATGACCTGCTCAGCAAACAGGTACCAGGATGTTCCAGGCTCCCCACGATTTCATGCCGCTCAGCTCTGGTGAAATGACCCATTCATGGGTGATTAGTATGTATTAATATGTATATGTACAGTATGTATTCCATTTGGTTAATATTCATACATATTCATACATATTCATACATATTCATACATATTCATACATATTCATACATATTCATACATATTCATACATATTCATACATACTGTACAAATGCATATTAAATTATTAATACATCACCCAGTCATTTGCAGATTCAGGCGGCAGGTGCTGCCCAGCTGCCATATGCAAGGGCGAAGCCCTGGGGACTCATGGCAAAGACCTTCAAGTCCTGGCATCACCGAACCAACGCCGTTGGTGGCGGAAAATGGTGAAGTTTACCCTCTGGTAATTTAACATAGCTATTGAAAATGGCCCATTTATAGTTGATGTACCTATTAAAGACGGTGATTTTCCATAGCTATGTTAGTTTACCAGAGGGTAACAGCTAAATCATCGAACCAAATCTGTTACTACACGTTCACTCCATGGCGATTCTTGTCCTTGGCGACGTTTGTTTTAGGCCGTGTCATTCCCCATGTTCTGATGGCTTGATTCTCCCAAAATGCTTCGCCAAATCCGGTGCTTCGCCAAATCTCAAAATAGCTATGGGGTAATTTGGAACCCTATCCCATCCACTGGTTTCAAACCTGGATTTTTGTCCATGGTTTTCTTCCCCATAAAAAGTATTTAAATGGCCATGATGTGGGGTAAAAAAAATCTGGCATTTTGTGAGATCCAAATCTATTGTGCATGGGTTAAACCCCTATGTTTCATGGTTAAACCCCTGTTTTGCAGGGTAAATCCACGTGTTTGTTGATTAGAACCATAGTGGCTATTTATATTCCGATCCCTTTTGGTCGTCGCCGAAGTCATCAGACTCGTCCTCCCGAAACGTTCGACCACGAGCATCATGTGCCTCCACGACTGTGCAGAGGCACCTGAGGGGGTAAGGGTGGTCCAAAAGATGTCGATACTGAGAGAATTAGTGGTAAAAATCCACTCAAATCGAACTTTCATCTAACTCTTATCAAACTTTTGGTGATCAACTCCCTGTAGAATCCTATGATCGATGGCAGCATTTTTTGAAGACATGTTTGAGGCTTCAAAAAATATACTGATTGATCTATAATCACTTTTGTCTTGAATTGAACCTGCATTTACTGGGTCGAAAGGAACCAGTATGGCCAGTATGGCAGTATGGATTCCTATGGTTGCCTTTCGACACAAACACCAAGCTGATCAATCAGCCCGCAAGGATCCAACTCGGTCATACCAACTTCAGGATTGAACCTGCACAGGCAGAAGGGCGGAAGGGATAGTTGAAACTGTGGGATCACCACATGGCACTATGGCACCAGCAATCACCAGCAATCATAGCCCCCTCCTGTGAAGTCGCAGGCGAGATACTTCAGCATCTGGCCAAATGCCAGGATCCGATACATTCAGAACTTGCACAGCTGACCTGGTTGAACTATAGTTGAACTACCTGGTACCCTCTGGTAATTTGTTACATAGCTATTGAAAATGGCCATAGAAATAGTGGATTTTCCCATTAAAAATGGTGGATCTTTCCATAGTTTTTTGTTAACGTTTACCCACGGCCTCTGTCGGCACAGACCGCATAGATGCTGCCGTCCAAACATCGGAAATCCTCCACTGGGTTCGGCCTCCAAGGCGCCAGGAACAGTGGATAGTGACGGTTGTCATACGATTGCCACGTCAATTGTCACTCTTCTTGATGTTTTGGCCATTTTGATCCATTTTGGCTCATTTTTCTCGTGATTGTGTAGCATACTGATTTTGATTGGGGGCTCTTATACAAGACCATGTCTATGTGCGCCTTATGCTCTGTCAACGTTTATTCCAGCACCATGTGGGGTGCATATAAGCCGCATAAAAGATTATAGAAATATGTGTGATGAATGTGGGGTCGTGATCCCCCTTCCACTTGCTACAGTTCAAAACCATCAACCACTACAAGTAGTTGGCATATGTATCTGGCTGGCGGTTTCAACCCCTCTGAAAAATATTAGTCAATTGGGATGATTATTCCCAATATATGGAAAAATAAAATTCATATTCCAAACCACCAACCAGGTATGCATATGTCATGATCTCAGCTTCCAGCAATCGGCAATGCACAGACAGCTTCAAGGATGGATATCTGAAATCCACCTGCCCACTTCGGCGCAGCTTGCATATGCATAAATATTTCTGGATGATCGAAACACCACAAGGGAAAACTCAAGAAAAATCAAGATTGAAAGCAAAATCTCCTGCAAATGTTCCCTTCAAGCAAGTCTTAGTGTGGATCAGTTGGTGAAGTCCTTCCGACCTTTCATCACTATTTTTTGCATTGGTGATAGCTGGATGCTCATCCAGCGATGGTCCAGATAGGTCCCATAGATGGCATGACCCATCCCTGTATGGCTAGATGGTCATCCACCATCACGTGATCCCATTGATCCCATGCTGGAAAAAGTTGACATTCGTCGAATGTCAAAATACTAAACATGTTTGACATATATATATATATATTGTATCATGTCAAAATCTTACTAACCCCTTCCGACATTGCACCCCGGCCCCACCATGCGGATCTCGCCCGTTCCAGTTCCATGTTCCCGCAGCAGATTCGCATAGACCTGTCAGGAGGCGCTGGGGAAAACCTCGACCCCCACTAAGGTCGCCGACGAAGCCTGAGGGAAACGGCCAGTGCGTAATGGCCACAACAAGGTGCCTCGGTGGCAGCTATTGATTTGGGTAGGGCTATGCCCCCCAAATCCTATGGGAGAGAAAAGACATCGTTTTCTCAGTTTTGCCCATTTCTTCATTCATGGCCAGTGATTGCTTGTACATACCCCATTCTTGGACAAATCACAAATCCTTTTATCTGATCAGTTGAGGCTTCGGATGATTCCTGGTGTCCAGAAAAGTGTGCGGTTCCAAGGAACTAGCCACGGATGTTGGGAGGAAAGGGATTTCGAACTCTTGCTTCCGAAGATGTCTTCGTGTTGTGAAAAGCAGATTAACATATGGCAGTATGTCAAAACCTTGTACCCCTGGTGAACATCAAAATAGCTGGTAAATGGATGTTAATCCCCCTAAAAATGGTATTAATAGGTATTGATCCATACCCATATAGATTATAGATTAACTTGAAACATAGCTGGTTGCCTTCGGCCAGTGACAATCAATGCAGTTGTCGCCACAAACTAGGGCTCTGACCCAAATCTGTCTCGGTCACTGGCCTAAGACACGAGTGGCGAGACTGCTATTGTTCGGACAATCAAATCTGATATTGTTCGCTTAGTAAAGCATAGTAACGGCTTAGTATCTCCCTCATCGTCCTAGCGTTCAATCAATAAGATGAAGCAAACAAGAGGCATCTTACTGAGACAAAGATAAGGCATTTAGCATCAAGCCAGCAGACTTTTGCAGACGCGCTGAAGAGTATCCACAGTGAATCCAGTATCATCAGTATCGACCCGTAAAAACCAATGGTTCATATTTAATATGTTTCCCACCAGTACAGCCATTTTTTGCGGGGTCCATCCCCCATCTTCAGGTACCAAACCTAGATGTCCCCTGCGAAGGTGCCCCGACACATCCATCACGCACGGCATGGACCGTCGAAGATCAAAGAGCATTGCAGAGAAGCAGCTGCGGTGCGGCTGGGATTGCTGGTCCCAATGGGCCCAATGGGCCCAATGGGTGATGGTTCATTGAGTCTTTGGGTACCCAAAACTATGGAAAGATGGGATGATGATGCTGTTTCTAACATTTTCTAACCATATTTACATGGGTCAGAGGAAATTCGGAAACCGTCTCAGATAGGAATGAAACTATGGAAAGAAACTACCAACCAACTGATTAGTGTGAAGCATGCAAAGAAAAGACCAGCTATGCAGACTTGTACAGGAAATACTGAACAATGCGTGAACATGCGAATCATGGTGCGCTTGACTAGCAAATATTCCTTCTGTTTAAACACCAGCCCACTCGGTCCTTGTCACTGGATGCTCTGCAGTGCAAACAAGATTGCTCAGTGAGCAGCAACCATCAAAGCAATCCAGAGCATGGAGGAATTTGCCTCCGCAGCGAGACCAGCAAATCCCAGAAACCGCAAATCGACTACCCTCGCACAACAAAACAGCCTTACAATGCCTTACATCACCACTGGATTAACCACTGGTAAGGTGTGACCTTCACAATCATCCCATAGTTCGGCTGACCACGTGGTGTTCTTCCAGTGGACACATCGACGCATCGGTAGAGGACCTCCACATTCTGCAGAGCCACCCACAATGGACGAGCGAATGTCTGGACGGTCCCAGTGGATCACTTCCAGACCTGCACTGGGACCATGTCTATACGTATGGACGTATATACATGTACAATATGTATGTATATATATATTACATATTATGTCATACAATATATCTATAGTATTTATATATATATATATCAGAGAGAGAGAGAGATAGATATTTGTTGTATTATAAATATACTATCTATGTATATATATATATATATGTATATATATATAGTTATATATATATATACAGTATTATACTGTATGTACACATGCACCCCCCTCCAAAAAATGTGGTGAAACATCACCACCAGGCCAAAAAGCCCGCCTACCGGCTGCCGGCTCTTCACCGTCTTCAGTGCGACCACGGCATCCTGCAACGTCTTTGGGGGCTCAGCATTGGCCGCTAGGTGAAGCAACTTGACTATTGGTACAATCTTCACTCAGCAGTGTTCCATATACAGAACTATGAAACCTCTGGCATAGCTGAATTTTTGGATGACCACTTCTATAGTTGACAAACGATCTCGAAAAGAAATCGAGCAGCAACTGAGGGTTTTACCATCGAAATCACATAGCTTTTCCTTGTGGATTCTCCAACCTATTCTGGCACCAAGCACTGTGTTCCACCGGTCCTCCCTCACCAGACGAAGATCATTCACTGGATCCGAACCTCAAAGCAGTCTCAGTGGCCGTCATGTTTTCATGGAAAAGATGAGGATTAAACCACTGGATTCACTGGATTCACTGGATTTGAAACGTGCCCTGTCGACCATAAAATGCCATAAGTTATAGTCGATATTGGTCGATGTAGCCGTTGCAAATGGTACCATTTTCCATAGTTATGTAAACGTTTACCAGAGGGTATGTGCGCTCTTGTCCCAAGATCCAACAGCTTAAAGAGCAAGTCCCCCAGGTTTCAACCATCGCAGCCAGGTTGCACTGGAAGCTCTCGCAGAAGATATATCCCCCGCTGTCGCTTCCTGCTGAAGTCTGATGCCGGCGTTTAAAAAATGCCCCAGTCCAGTGTTGGTTGGTTGAATATTCCCATTATGGGTTAGTGCGGACTCCCCAAGACTCAAAATCACCAATCAAGAGGGGTATTTCTAATGGCTCAGATAAGTGTCCATCAACGTGTTGGAAAACTAATGCTTGCCCGCCTTGCCCGCAATGCGTCAAATTGCTGGAGCTCGAACTGGTGCGCGAACTGGGGGTGTGGGTGAGCAACTGGTAAGGCACTGCTACACTCTCTGAAAATCCCATGGTTTATAAACCAGGTTATCCATTAAGCTATATCATAATATTAATATGCAAAAATTGCTGTTTTCGGGGCCCATCCATCCCCAATTTTTAAATAAACCCAAATGGGTTTGGAAGATGGTTCATCCTCTGAGTCTTAATTTAAAGGCCGAGCTACCACGGATACACTGAAATATCCTTCCTCCAGTGCTCCTCAAAAGAATGTCTATCTGATATCATCTCCATCGAAACCCTGCGAAACCATGCTTCACCCAGTTCGCTTAGTGAAATGATTTATGCATTCAAACTATATGCTCCAAGTATCCAAATGGATCTGTCTGAAAATGGGGGATACCCATGTTCAATTGCTATTTCATAGGGAAGATTGCCATCATAAACTAGAGGATTTAAGGGTTTCCCATGGTTTTCCCCTAAATTCTCAGACAAACCCAAATCATTATGATCCAACCTGCCATATGTCATGGATCCAGGGCGTCGGAAGAGTTGCACCTGCGATGAAAAAAAGCCCGGGGCTTAGGCCCGGTACCCGCAACTGGCTCGGAAATCAAACATGACGATTTCTGGGAAATCCAATCCGGAAAATCCATATAGGGAAATCCAGAAAAAAACTGAAAATTGATGGTTGGGAAAATCATCCAGTCGAGAATTTTCCGGCAAGCCATGGCGATGAAAAACCATGTTTGACTGGAGGGTAGATGAATCCCTGATCCGATCGTGTCGAATTCAGAACATCGAACCACCGAAAGGGGAAGAGTGAGAAAACAACCTGAATTGGTGGTTTATTGCGTCTCAGACCTAATGCAAGTCTGGAAATCCCGAAACAGCCCAAGCATCTCTCATCTGTGGCATCATGATCCAGTCTGAGAAGCTCCGACCCTTCTGCCTTGAACTACCCTATTCCGGTCTTCGGAAGGTACCCACACCGTGTTCTCGATTGGCATCCCCCAAATGCGAAACAAACCCTTTTTATCCCTTTTTTATCCAACCTGGCCCCTGGCAGAAGAGTTGAAGGTATGTAATTAATCTGCAAATGGGAACCATCTTTCATTGCCATCCAAGAAATGACCAGCCATTTCCGAGTGGCTCTTTCGAAAAACTACCCAGTTACCCCTTGGAAGGGCCCCCCCGTATTCATTCACTGAATTGGTGTAGAGGTCGACCAACTGGGATTTGCAGGCAAAGTAAGATTTGTGGTGTATGTAGAGTATACAGTATATTCAATTATATGGGGGTATAAAACCAAAAACTCAACTGGTGAAGGATGTGAAGGGGTGGCCTAAAAATGACCCCCTTTTTTGGCACCTTCAAGTCATCACCTCCAATGCCAATGAGACCAGGACTGATGTCACAACAATTCACGTTGCAATCTGAAACCTGGCAACCCAAGCGCTGCGCAAGTGGCAAGTGCAGCTGGGGGCCCAATCCTGTGGAAGTCATCTAGAATCACATCAGATGGAAAAAGGAGACATGTCTGAAACCAGAAAGATGGAAAATAGAAAAAAATCACAGAAAACGAGGGGGAAAACAAAAGTTATCATTTAAATATATGTCATATATATGTCATATATGTCATATTTTTTTTGCACCAAAGACTATAAAACATATGGAGGTGTCCTAAAATGGGGCTACCAACTACCAGGAACCCAGGAACGGAACACAAATCGGACCTGGAGGTTGTCTTTGGTTGAACCATCCCTGGGGTCCAACACCATCAACCTGGCCTCAGCGGACGATGGACATGGTGATATTATGATGATAGTAATCATAGTGATAATAGTGATAATAGTGATAATAGTGATACTAACACTGATGATGCCACTGAGGTCCCAAACAGGTTTGGACTCGGCGCCTTCCGTCACAAGCACCAAATCCTGCAGCATTGGCATGAAGAATCTGGATACCCTCGGGTAATCAAACATTCACACAAAATGAAATTGTTCATCTTATAGATCTTATATATATATATATGAATGATAAAATCATCTATAGAATCATAGATGGTTTTAAAACATTCAAATAGAGATGTTCGTGGGAAAATCATCTCTAAAGGATGAACATGTATGAATGGGAAATTGTCCATTGCCGTGTTTGAGTACCAAAGGGTGAGTTCTAATGCTTCACTCACCTGAAATAAGATCATTTTGGGACTCTTAGACTCGTACACCACCTCATTTTTCTGTGACCTCGCCGTTAGGTCGTTATAAGTTTATCCAGAAGCATTGAGGATTCTTCAAATGCATGGCAAATGGTCTGTAAAAAATCGTGGGCACTCAATCGCAGTTCATGGTTAGATCAGTCTTCTGCCCAGTGAGTTTTTGTATGTCATCTCTTCTATGGGTTGCTTCATGTGCAATCCCACAGTGGTAATCCACCATAATCCCGATTCAACTTGGTAGCATAACCCTGCATAAGAATCGCTCGTGTTCCCCCCATGTTTGTTGATGAAAAATCCCCTCAAACGAACGTTGCTGGATATTCCCCTCAACAAATTGGGGTGTGAAATTTGAGTACCCATAATTCCCATGGTTCATCATGATTTTCCCCCGTGAAATTGCCATAACTGAAGGATCAATCCCCATTTTCAAACAAACCCAGATTGGGATTATAGTTGTTACTATATTGTTATATACATACCCCGTTACAGTAAATCCATGTGAATCCCCATTCATAAAAAAATGCCAGTGCCAATTCATAGCCATGTTTATTGCTAACCCAGGCATCGTTTTGTGATCTCTGGTACTTCCGTTGTCACGTGATCTATCATATCAAGTTGGCTACTTCTAGCCCATCAAATGTCCCATTATGGTTGGTTTTATACCCCCATTATGGTTGCAATTTCCCATTTCTGCCAGCAGGCCACCATGAACCAACCATCTGTCCTCGTGATTCATCCGCACATCCAGGGCCAAAGCCGGTGGATCTGGAGCTTGAAGACGTCGAAGCTGAAGGGCGGAGGTGTTCAACAAGGGACATAGGTCCCAAGCGTCAAAATCTACTGGAAACACCTGGAAACCATGCTTTTTGGCATCAAAACCATAGATGTTTCCTATCGAACTTCCCTTTAATCCAGTGTCGGCAGTCTGGTCGGTGGTTAAGCCACTCGTTCCATTGCTTTAGAAGGGAAGCGGAAAAGATTTCAAATCGCCAACCAAAGGTTCTTGTTCGGGTCCCGAACAGGGCCAGGATGCAACAATGATTCCATTCTCTTTTCACGATAATTCAGGGATTTATATACTTTTTCCTGCTTTTTGGTGGCCCCTCAAACCATGCCAGCATCTGATCATTAAAAAAAGAAGTAGCAGATTCTGCGGGATGTCCATAGTAATAGTTACTGTGGCTATTTGGGTATCTGCCAAGGTAATTGGCTACAGTCTTGATCCATAGCCGTATGCTGTCTCACAATGTCTTGGAAGGTTATGTTTGAAAAAATCCCGCGGAGTTGCGTTCAAGGAGGCTAAGAATAGACGAACAGCGATGTGATTGTTTTTGGTTGGATTGCTTTCTACAATTCAACACAATAATGTCCTTTTGTTACAGGGGTAAACAAACCCCTCTATTAATCAACCAACCAATGGAAAAAGGACATCTATGATTCAACATGATCTGTTTTTGGGTGTCATGAAACAACCGTCACCCGTTTGAAGTGATGGCCTTGGATTCTGCAATCACAGGAAGAAAAACCAGAGGCATCGAAGAAATGTTGGAAATCACAACTTGAGAAGAAACATCATCTAATTACAGTATTGGATTGGTTTAAGGGAAAATTGACGGGAAAGCCTCACGTTTTATGTCAAAACCATGGTTTCTAGGATAAAACACCTCTACTGTAAAAGCCCGGCGTCACTATGTTTCCCACCTGGAAGGACGGCAAACACCGGCCATTCTTGACATCCTTTGGATACCAACCGTTGCAGTCGCGGAGGCAATCCTGCACGGAAGAAACGTTCGCAAAAAGTGAGGCGTTGTGTCAAGCCAGGTCTTTTGGAAACTCCCAGTTCATTGATGTGGGGGGTGATCATTCACACATTCACTCTTGGAATTATCATGGTGGGGTTGACATTGAAACACCCAGGTGGGATCACCAACCTATCTTGATACGGGCAAGCATATGGTTCCCGTGGCCCATAGCACCTTCCCAATGGCTGATATGATTCGATTAGCTCTGAGTGCTCTTTGATTTTAGCTTGAAATTCACCAGCTGCAAGTCTGCCCAACACTGGCCCCCCATCGAAAAAAGTCCTTGGCACTTCGGAACAGCTGCAAGTTGGTTGCTGGGCCTCGGGTCCCAACGTGGATCTGGGAGCCTGAAACCATGCCCAAAATGCTATCAATCATAGGCCACGTCCCGTCAAAATTGGCCCAATATTGAAATATTGAAACGTCACCCAAAATCACCTGAATTTCCATGATCGAAATCTTAACTGTTAGTAACTCTTATCCCCTAGCCGGGAACCATAGGTTAAAACGCTGCCAGATGATGCCAGCTGATGCCAGCTAGACGTCTGTCGTTCTGAGCTCGAAACCCCAGCGTTGGCGACAGAAATATCTCCAGACCTGGGGCCGAGGTAGTGAAAGGTGGCAATGGATATTCCCTATAAACAATGGACGTGTTAAAGTGAAAATCATGGAAAATCAACTATAAATGGGAAAGTTCCTGAAAAGAGCAAAGTTCTCTTTTGGAGCTACCAGCAAACAAGCAAAGTTTGGCGCGAAACAATCGATTGTGACGAATACAAAGGCTAGACACAAGGATGTAAGCAATGGAGGTGGACTATTACATAACTATAACTTATCCATAAGGAACAGTGTAGATTATGTATCCAATATACCCTACCATCCACGAACATCGAGAATGCCTCCTCGCTTCCAGCCATATGCTGCACCCTGAGATGCGGTGGTGCAAAGGAGCTTTCAGATAGGATGGAAAGCTGAAAAGGGTGGTATAAAGCCAACGATAACATAATGGATAGGATAGAATGGATTGTGATGGGATGTATACTGCAACATACTGCAACCGACAATGTAATGATATGATACTTAGGTATGTCTGAAAATGGTGTATACATCTTTGAAGACAGAAAATGATGATCAACCATAAGACCTGGGGTATCCTAATTTCAGACAAACCACAATTTTTAAATGACAACTCCGATTCTGATCCTTCCACCTTCAACCCTTTGTGTCATTTGAAAGGAATACGATCAAGGTTGCAAACCTTTTCTCTGAGTATGTTCTTGAAACGCTGCCAATGATGCTGAGAATGGTGAACCCATTGGCAAGCTCAGGACTTTGGAAATGTCGCTATGTGGATCCCTGCAGCGCAGCCAGTGCAGCCGTGTTCAAAAAGTGGGGCATACCACGGTGCCCAACCACGGTGCCAGGTGAGGAAACCTATTCCCCAGGCCCCCAGGCACCTGCTACTCGCTGGGAGCAAAAAGAGCACATCCATCGGTCGCAGATACTGACAGACTGCGGCCGCAAGGTCCTCGAGCGTTGTTTCCTCAAAAAAACATCACGGGATTATCATATATTACGTCAAATAATGGCATATTGATGGTTTAATCATGGTCAATGATGGCTGATAATGGGATTATCATTGGATTATCATTGGATTATCCTTGGATTATCATTGGATTATCATTGGATTATCATTGGATTATCCTTGGATTATCACGGATACTATGATGGTTAATAACGGTAAATCCTTGATAACAGTGGATAATATTGAGATACTAAATAGGGTATTGAATAGAATACCCTCCAGTGTCCTTAAATGTAACTTGCTTGGAAATCCCCGCACTAGCCATGGAGGCTTTTTTGCTGGAAAAATCAACAAATGGAGCTGATTTCCAGAGGGTTTTTTCCTTCCCATTCTTTCCCACTGAGATGGAATACCCAACCGAAACACGGTTTTGAATATTGAAGTCCTGAATTTTGAGGGGTATTGACAGGGTATTTCAACGAAAATTGCGGGAGATTCAACCAGCAAAACGAATGGGGCTCCTGGAAGTCCATCAATCGGTCCATGAGCGAAGATCTTACCTGTGCCAGTGGCAGGCATGGCGCCGTTTGGGTGAGAAATGCAAGGTAAATCATGGTATGTATATGTATGTGTATATATATATATATATTTAGTTATATATGTATATAGTTATATAATGTTATATATGTATACAGTGATGTGTGTATGTGTATGTATATATAATATATATATGTACAGCCTCTGGCAATCAAACATGGCGATGGAAAATCCTGGTTCAGAGACCATCGCTGATCAGCCCACCTCCGGGCACAGAGGAAGCAATTTCGCCTTCTTGCCAGGACATTGTTCGAAGGACCTATGCCAGTGCGGCCCAGGGAACAAAAAAACACAGTGGTGGCCTCCAAAATCCGATGCATCCAATATGTGATTGAGTTGTGACTTTGACACTACCCTCTGGTAAACTAACATAGCTATAGAAAATCACCCTTTTTAATGGGAAAACTCACTATAAATGGCCATTTTCAATAGCTATGTTAAATTACCAGAGGGTAAGTTTGTACCCTTTCTTCATTGAGTTCCCGACTGTTCCCACCCTTGACTGAGCTTTCGAAGGCAGTGTGGCATTGCTGATGAAAGGGAAAAAGGTGTGGACGGTTGCAAAGGTATGGACCTTAGGATAATTGGTCTTAGTGTCAATTTAGAACATCAAAATTCTTGGGAGAATTCTGAGCCGTGCCTAAAGGTGATCCCCCAAACCCGGATAGTTGCTACTACGACATGCTGAAAAGCTAAGCAGCTAAGCGTGGCTGCTGGTGAGCATGTTATGACTATGACCTGACCAATTGCATAGAACCTGCTTGATCCACAGTGGATTCTTTGGTAATAGGCGGATTGTGTTGCTGAATAGTTGTGACTGACCATTTCGTCAACTCATGGGATGAGAAGATGTTGAAAGATATTGCTAAGTTCCTGAGTTACACACCAAACTTCAGCAATTCAGCACACCGTCGCATCCTGTTTTGCGAGATCAACACGACACGGTGGGGCTGTTGGCCGCCCGATCTCGATCGGAAGGTGAGACGAAAGAATCTCTGGACCATTCACACAGAACGGTGATTCACATCCTGACTCCAAGGAGTCCATCACGACTCAAGTTGATGCCTCAGCCTCAGCCAAAGGGGGCCAGAACCTTTCTGCGGACATTAATTTACCAGGCGGACTATGGGTTGGTGTAAGAGAACAAATATCTCTTGTCCATTATTGTACATTATTTATACTGATCCAGATGCTGATGATGATGATGATGATGATGATGATGATGACGATGACGAGGAGGAGAAGGAGGAGGAGGATGATGATGGTGATGATGATGATGATGGTGATGATGATGATGATGATGATGATGGTGATGGTGATGCTGATGCTGATGGTGATGCTTATGGTGATGGTGATGCTGATGATGATCATGATCATGATCATGATCATGATGGTGATGGTGATGGTGATGGTGATGGTGATGGTGATGGTGATGATTGTAAGGATGGTGATGATGATGATGATGATCATCATGATGATGGTGATGATGGTGATGATGGTGATGATGATGGTGATGATGATGATGATGATGATGATGATGATGATGATGATGATGATGTACATCATGTATAATCATGTATAATCATGTATCATCTATATCACATAAGCCTTGTCTTTGGTCCATCTTGTACAAATGTCGGTTCTCCATTGTTTTTCCCTTAACAACTTCTCCGAGAAACTGTTATTGCCTCTCTGCCGCAAACGGCGCTCACGGGATGTTCCAGATATGCTTCCGGAAGATCATTTGATGCCCCCCCTTGATGGCCTGAACACGGTGGATATGCCAGGTATTGCCAGGTCATTACTACCCTAAACCCAAAGGTTTCGGACAAAGGAAACGGGTTCGAATCAACCAGTCATTGAAACCAATAGCAAGAAATTGGCAGGGCTTCAACGGAAATGGCGGAGCTTTTTGGAAAAGAAAGCGAACCACCAACCGGTTCTAGGATAGGTTTATTGGTTATACGAGTTATGAACCCACTTATATACAACATTATACAACCCCCAATCCTCGGTGGTAAATATATCTCCAACCAGATGGTGCCTCGATATCTTCATAGAATGTCTTCTCGATACACTGCCTTCCTTCTTCGTCTTCAAATCGCGCCAGCTTGATGTTGTCGAGGTCGGCATCATAGTGTTCTTTCAACTTTTCGAAGTATTTCACAAATTCTCCTGAAAAAGTTTGTGGGTCTCAACCACCTCAAATATATGAATCCGTTGCGATATTCCAGTTTCTATTTGAAAAGGAAAAAAACAAACACCGACCAGTCCCAGTCCTTTTCCTTTATCTAAACCTTTCAGCCACTCCATGCACTTCCGTTGATTCTCATTCTCAACCTGGGGCAGTGAGCGTTGGCTGGTCGCCCCATGCAATTCCTATAAAAGTGTTTATGACACTGCTTTCCCTTAGGCTTCTCACTTCAACAAGGGAGCATGTTTTTTCCCCGGGGGGTTGACTGAAACAAATTGAACAACATTAGATTTTTGGTGAGCGCATCATGGGGATTCAACCAACCCAAAGTGAACCTTAAATTATAAGAGCGTATTAAGGGCTTGTTAACCGCCAACAACCACTATTTTATGGGTTTATTAGCCATCTATTTCTACCCAGGCACAATGGGGTAAGCTGCCGAGACAGCAACAATGGCCAGAAGAAAGTCTATAGTGGGAAAACATCACCCCCAACAATGTTAATCAAAACAAAATGAACCCTGCTTAATACAGCCATATTAAGGGGTAAGTCTGGCCGTTTCTTCTTGCGCACGGTCTTTTAATTGGTATGTTAATCAGGGTTGCCGCTTTTCAAGACTGTCATGTTCACCTTGATTCCATTCATGCATCATAGGTGAAAAGACACCATAAGAGCTTAATAATATAAGGTTTCAATATCTGTGTGGTTTCCTTACTTATGTGGGGGGAGGTTGAGAGGGGTAGGTTGCATGGACATGAACAATATATATATATATATTGTGTTCTATATGATATCTATAATATACACTATATACTATATACTACATACTACATCATAAATAATATATCATATGTAATAACTAATACATTATACATATATATTGTAATATACTATATATAATGTTCCATATATATATAGTATATAGTATAAGTATATATTACTATATGACTATATAGATATATACAACATGTAGATTGGGAACTGAAAGTGCCTGCTCTGGCGCTGCACTTGGCGGACTTGGCATGGGCATCTTTGCACCGGGCTTAAAGGCGCGGTTCTTCGGTGGCACCTTCGGTGGAAAACGACCCCCCAGTTATGGCCAGTTTCGTAGGAAACTGCTGATGAAGCCTCGATTTTTTGGAACAAAAAGATCAATAATCAGATTGTGATGAGCAACTTTCAGAGAAATTTCAGACATCTCTAAACATGACAGCTCTCACAGTGCATTGGAAAATCTTGGAGTGTGCTGGTGATTTTGGCACCTCTGGCCGCGCTTTCTTGGTCGGCGGTTCAACGTTCGCCTGGTGAAAATCGCAGGGTTTTTCAACTCAAATTGGCCAGATGGCGAGGGATTCAAATCAGACCACAAATTTGGGTAGGCGAACGTCCCAAACCTGCATGTCTTGTTGGTTTCTTGGGATGAAACAAAACATGGGGTTGGACTCGTCCCCCGAAAGTGACTTGTTCTCTTGGAAACGAAAACATCAACGCCAGATCTCGCTGGAAGGGTTGCTTGGCCGCACAAAACCCAACCATCTAGAACCATCTCAAGACGTCAAAAATGGATTGTGTTTCAAAGTATTGGACCGCCCTTGCAACAATGGACCGTGAATTGGTAGATTTGGCACGGCAATTGGGAACATTTGGGAACTGAGACCTGCAGCGGAAGCACCTGCCAGAACTGCAAGCAGAAGAAAACTAAGATTTGGCGTCCCAACCAAAAAAAACAATTCCATTCTGGCGTTGCTTGCCTAGTACTCAAACTGACCAATATATTTTGTGGATTGGTTTATGTGGATGTTCCTTGTCGGCCGCCTGCACTGCAGAGTTGCCAGGTTCGTGTGGCCTTGACTTTGCCTGGGACAGGGACAGTGTTTGGTCGCTTTACTAAAATGGCAGTACCCCCCAAATCATCCATTTTGATAGGATGTTCCATTCTTTTCCATCCATTTTGGGATACCCCCTATTTATGGAACCCCCCCACGAAATCGAAATGACCAAAAAAAGATTACAGTAAACGGCTGCATTCCCCAGAAACTTGCATGTAACGACTGCCTGAGTCATGCCATACCTGGGCCGTGGCCATGACCCATGTCCTTTTCCTAGCGGAACCTGAAGCGCCCTTTCCCAACCTCACACCGCTTTTGCACAATCCAGAAAAACACAAACAACGTGAAACAACCCCAAGAAACCGACGAACAGACGCACAAACAAACAGCCTCCACAGCACGGACCAGAGGGGAATCGAAGCCGTATCATTAGAATTTTCCCAATGGTGCATGGCCCTGCAAAACCCTCCGACAGCCACTACCCCCACTTCTCACTCAACTTTCCTAGCCCGTCGGCTGGCTTTCGTAAAAAACTGCATCAAGTCCTAAATAAAAATCATCAGCCTGGAATTCAACAAAAAGTCATCTAAATCGTTGGAAAAATATTGGATCCACAGCGGTTCCGCTCTCCTGAGGTACCGCCGCCTTTGTCTTTGGCATTGCTTGGGTTGGCCCGGGCGCGGGGCCAGCCTGTGGTCAGACATTGCTGGTTGGGTTCCACCAAAAATTGCAGTAGTTGAGATTTTTACTTCCCATATCAAGAGTTGGCTGTGCGCGCTTTGAAGCACAGGTCGCTGCTACAAAGGGTGCCCCGGGAGGCTCGCGACAGAAGGTGCTATGGGTGCACATGCCAACTTTGCACTTGGGAGTCTATGTCGGTGCTACAAGTACTGTTTTTGCTGTGCCACTGGCGCCTCACTGTGTGGGAAACAATATGTTTATTTCTGTAGGATATCTTTAATGAAGGTTTTTGATGCCTTCGGAATGTGCAGCTGATATCTTTTTTGTTATCTGGGGTTCATGCTGGAGTAATGTTGTTGGAAAAGTTGGAACAACATCAATATGATGTGTGTGTGTGTAATAAGTATGTGTATATGATTTTGAGAATTCACCCGCCAGCCAGGACTTCATCAATCTTTGGAAAGAATCTGTCGACAAGTTCTGAACGACCCTTCATGGTCAATTTCTGGAAAGCACTAGTGTCACCAGTGGACCTCGAAGCAGAAAACGCTGATGTTTATGATGAGCTTCTTCTGGTTCTCCAGCGGCTTTTGCCAGTGCCAATTTCTGCCTTGCGGCAGGCAGCTTGGGTGTCAACATCATTCAACCCTTGGGGCTCACTCCCCAGCAACCATCTATTCAGGTGATGTTTGAAAGTGCCCAAACTGGCACATTTCAAATCCAAGTGTTGTTGGGCAACTTTCTCAATTGGCTCAGATGTATTCCTATTTGCCTTTACATTTACCAACCCCTGGTCTCAGACCCCTTGCTACTCGGTGCTTTCACCCCATCTCAAAAACGTTTGCGTTTATACTAGGGCCCACAAAGAATAAATCTCAAAATGTGATTCCAAGGGACAAAGAATCAAAACATGTGTGGAACATGTGCAAACCGGTGAAGTGGTCTTCCATTCATGCCCATTATCCGAGTCACGTGGCGGTCTGGTGGATGATTTTGCACCATCCGCGTACGCCCACACCTGGGCAAGCCAAGGAAACCCCCATACGTTGGTTTCAAAGGACGGAGGACACCCTGAGGTCGTGGCACTGTCACTGCCCACACTGGGGCCAACATACCACTGGTGCTGTTCAGACCAATAGTACCTGGTTGGTTTTTGAGCCTGGAAAATAAATTAGGTATACATAGTCAATGGGGATCATCCTCCCATTTATTGGATGGTAAATAAAACACGTTGGGGAAAAAAAGCACCAACCAGATACATGTAGACTGCGTTCGTCTTGTCCATGTGCGGAACAACTCTCTGGTACACAGAACCTCAGACGCGATGCTCTGGACAATATTTAGCTCAGGCTGGTGAGATATCCCATCCGATCCATCCTTGCACATCTGTGAATACATATATGTACATATATGTTACTGTTACATTATGAATGACATTATCTATATACATATAATAATTATCTACATTAATAGAATTTATCTAGGCGACTATATTCATATGTGATATATAATGTTATATTACTATATTATTTCATATTATTACACTTATATATATATATCAAACTTATATCCATATGGCTATATTCTACTATACCTTAGTACTATATCACATATCACATATTTGTACAGCCATCACATGTATGTCCATGTTCACCTGCCAACGAACATCCATCGTGTTTGCCAACCACGCTGTATACACCAGGAAGAATTTGCTGCGCGGCCTTGGTCGGTGTCAATTCCGCCGTGGTAGCCATTTGAATAGGGAAGAATCATCGGAAAATATGGGAAAAACATGGGAGAGTATGGGAAAATGATGGTAAACCAATGGATTTTGGGGATAGCGGATTTTCAACCAAAGCCATTTCTGCTGGTAATTGTAAACGTTCTTCACACGCAGATCCCACCTTGTCGTTGCCAGTCACGCGAACCAGAAGGCTGCATTCTGTCTCGGGCGGATAGTTTTCCTTTTGCTCTGTAATCACCTGAGTCGACAATCACTTCGATCACTTTTTCAGTGGCAACAAGCTGGGGGAACTTTGGTTTTTGGGTCCATTGATGTCTGTTGCTTGGTTCTTTGGACTTGCTTGATGGCAAATCGGCAGGAAAGCCACATGATTTTGATTCTGTTGACGTGTGCTGAGCCCCGTGCACCACAGAGCAACTCTGCCAATTCCAAGGTTTTTTTCGAGCTCCTCGCCGGGCCAGAGATTCAGTGGAAGTTCCACCAGTATGGACTCATGTATGTGTAGGTATGTGTATATCTATATATATATACACACATAATATTATAATATACATACATATATAATATATATATATATATATGGGTATGGGTCAATACCTATTACTACCATTTTTAGTGGGATGAACATCCATTTACCAGCTATTTTGATGTTCACCAGGGGTACAAGGTTTTGACACACTGCCATATTTATTTATGTACATAGAGGACACACAATGGACATACATGGACACTATGTCGATCTGTCTAGATCAGTTTAGGCTTGAAATGCTCGTCATAGCTTTTGTTATTTCACACCAGGATTGATCGACGTTCGTGTCCTGCTCGTGCTTTTGGGATCGGACAGAAACATCGCGATGATCTGTGCAATGCACAAATCATTGCAGCGCTGTTTGCTCGCCACCTCCCTGAGGTTCCTCAAGGCTGACATCCTGCAAAGATTCGAAGAAAAAAACAAGAAGGTGGTTCTAAAATGTTCTAAAGAGCATCTCGTTCTCAAATATATTAACTGTGTATAACTGTATAACTGTGTGTTCACCATTTTACGAGGGAATATTTGAACATGGGATATGACCATTCCTGATTTTTTTCCAGCTCAAGCCATAGGGAGGGACCCATTTGGTTTAGCCTCTAGGGGTACCCAAAATCAAGTGATTAATCGTGGTTAATCATCATGTTCCCTATCAAAATTGCCACCCAAAGACAAAAATTCTTTGATTGAGCCCCTAATGTTGAAGCTTTCCCAAAGCGGCTGGATATCTCCCATACTTGACACTTAAATCCAATTGCATGTTGATCTTAAAATCACCTAACTTCGGATTAAATATCTCCATCTCCATCCTCTCGGCGAAGCGTTGCTGCCCAGTCTGTTGCTCCCTGCTGAGGTATCCCTGCTGATGCAAGAGCTGCACCGCAGCACGAAGCTCCAAGAGGTGGTTCTCCAGCTGCGCTGAGGACATCTGTTGGGCGATCTGCACAATGCGCTGAGCCGTTCCCTTGGAGACCTTCTCCAAGTTGGAGATGCCATGCTCCACCAAGGTTTGGAGCACTTTCACGCCTGAGCAGATATCAATTCAAGATGATTTCATATGATTTCCTACTCTTGGTTCATGCCTGAGTTTATTTTGTTATTGATTGTTACGTTATTCTTTATTATGTAGTGTGAGAAAACGCTGATGTCCTACTCTTTGTTCTCGTCGCAAACCCTGTCTTGACTTGATATTGACTTTGATGATGCTATTGCTTCTCGCGCGAGCGTTTTTGATGTTGGGCATGTTCTTGTGAGTTTTGTTGATGGTGTTGACATTGTTGTTGCTGCTGCTCTCTATGATCCATGATCAGTTCTCTGCGATCGGGAGGGGGAGGAGGAGGATGTTTGATGAGATGATTATCTTGCTGTTGCTGCTGATGTTCATGGTGATGTTTACATAGCCCGCATCTTGTTCCAGTGCATGAACTTTTAACATGCTTTAAAGCAACAGCAATTAGTGCATTGCAAACGTAACTATGATTCCACGTTTCAGAACTGGCGTAAAGGCAACGCCTGCACAAAAAAAAAAGAAACAGCTGAAATTCTGGCAAGGTACAATCCACCAATGAGTCCTGCTCGATGGCTCTGTTGATAATCTTCTGGTGCTGGGCGAGCTCGGCCACCTCCTTCAATTCATGGGCCACCTGCACGAAGAGCAAGGCTTCAACTGCCGTGAAGTTCACCTCGTTGTTCTTTTGCAGTGCAGCCTTGAAGAAGACACGTTGCTCCTCCCGGCCGGTTCCCAGCAATGCCTTCAAGCAACTCAAGAGTTGCCTGACCTCCAGTTTCTTCAAGCGCTCTTCCTTAAAGGCATCCGTTCTCCAGACCTGGGGGTCAAAAACTAGAATCAAAACCCACCAGGTAGGCCAGTTAGGTCCATTGTTGGCAGTAGGATCATCCAGTTCGGTTTTGCCCATCTTTTAGAAGAAAAAACCATTCAAACCACTAAAAAACCGTTTCAACCATTAAACACCCACCAAAAACAATTTTAAGACCATTGAAAAACCACTAAAGAACAGTTCAAAACCATGAATAAACCAAGGAAAATACGATTATATAAAAACCATAAACCATTAAAAAACAATTAAGACCATCACAAACTGATTGAAAACTATTTCAATGCCATTCAAAACTATCAAAAATTAAGGAAAGACATGTTCGACCATTGAAAACCCATCCGAAAACCCATTCAATCGCCATCCTTTCGTATTGCAGCGGTGCCCCTTTAAACATGTTCAGTGCACCTCCTGAGCATCGAGGCGTACGGCAGCGCCACAGAGGAAGATGGTGACCTCTGCAGGCGCATGGTCATCCGTGAAGCGATGCAGGGACCCGAAGCCCCGGAAGTGCTGCAGGGTGCAATCCATAGCCTCGGGGACCTCCATCTGCACCTGGAAAGCGTTGGAAAAGAGGCTGGTTTCTATGACTGGCTGAAGGGAGACACAGATGTGGAATGATGTGGAATGATGATGAATGATGTGGATAAGTATTGTGTGTTGTGCTATATGTGACTTGAATGATCATCATATCATTGTATCTTCATAAGACAATTCACCAAAATATTCTTATGATATCCCTCGATTTGGGGGGTGGAAAGCAAAAAGAAAGATCTTAAATCGCAGAATATCGCAGATCAGCTACACATCTGCTGACTTCTCGCCAAATGTCGGACATGTGCTCAATGCCTGCCTTGCTAATGCGGTGGAAAGCGCCAGCGACACAGGTCATCATCCGGTCAGTATCAAAGCCAGCACTCTGGAAACACTTCACCACATGACTCAAGATGCTGAATCCAGGAGCGGTGCTGGCGGCTGCTTCCAAGCTTGCCATCACTGCCTCCTTGTGGCGACAGAACATGCCAACTGCACTGGTTCCTTCCAGGTGTCCCACCACTTGGCAGAGCTTCCGTTGCACCCTGGCTGGCTGCAAGCAAATAACCAAAAACAATGTTGACGATGGGCAGATTAAGGAAACCAGCCATTCCTTTCCCATTATGATTGGTGTTCTCGTGCAGGAAATCTACATCAATATTGTCAATATTGGTTTCCCATGTTTTCCCTGGACGCTGCGTTTTTGTTGGCGCCTGCGATCCCCACTCTCCGCCAGGAATGGGATCACACTGCAGTCTTCCCGCAGCAGGAAGTCTTTCCATGGCACTTCTACCACGTTATCCAAGAGCGACAGAGTGGACGAAACATCTTCCTTCTGCCGCTGCTCATGCAGCCCGGCATGCAGTAGTGCTAGCAATGTCTGTTCGTCCCAACTCACAGCCGCGATCTTCTCCAAAGTGCTGATAGCCTGGTGAACCAATGTAACCCGAAGCCCAACAAAAAGGGACCTCGAAGCCCATGGATTTGAATCCTAGGAATGTCATGCAATATCTAGAAATGATTGCAAGTGGGGTAGATCCTGGAGTTTTGAGATATATCAGAACAAAAGGTGTGCATGTATGTTCTGATCTTTTCTGGCTTGTCAGATTGATTTGATGTTTTCATTTGTTTTCAAACAACTAGCTACCAGAGCCCTGAATAGGTTCAAGTTCCTGTCCAGTTCAGCATGTTCAGCCAAAGCTGCAATATTATGAAAGATCAGACCCCTTTCAGACCCCTTTCAGACCCCTTTCAGACCACCACAAACCCTCACAGAAAACGATTGCAGATCCATAGGGCATCGGGGTCCACCAGCCTGAAGCAGATCCAGCGACTTGCCTTCCAACAAACGGCAAAGGCCCTCCACCGATCCAGCCCCAGACTTGGCGATATTTCTGGCCAGCTCGCCCAGTAGGTGGCCCTTCCTGCAGGTTTTTCTCGTGGTCAAAATGCTGGAAAACCTCTGAAAGGTGTGTGCATCTGTCCTGTACCGCTATTTCAGGTGAAACTTCGTGATTTTGCTACCTCTCCACATTCAAATGAAATTGGGAAGCAATTTTCCGAGTTAAGGATACAGTTTTTTAAAGTTTTTTACAATCACCAAAAATAACAACCACCTTCAAACTGATAAGTACACCAACTCGTTGATGTTTCATGATCAATTCCTGAAGGTTTTTGGCCTCACATCAACCTCCAGCAGACTCACTACATCCCCAACATCTTCAACCCAGGTCCTGAAGTGATCCTTCTTTTCGGCCGCAAACAGCAAGAGCTCGACCGCCTGAGCAGGTCGAAGTGTCACGGCCTTGTCTGATGTGAGGTCCTTCCAATGCCCCGACATGTCCTCAGTGGCGGTTTCAACCCCCCAGAAAAAGATGAGTCTGTCCGAAAACAGAGGGGTAAATAAAACTTTGAAACATGGGTGTGTCCGAAAATCGGCTATCCCAAAGTTGATGGATTCTCATGGATTCTCCCTAACATCTTCCCACTTGGAATTCTGATTTTGGGCATTCCAAAATGTTCAGACAGGCTGATTTTGAAACCATCAACCAGTGTCGAGTTTGGCCTTCACTGGAATCTTGGCCGGCGGCCTTGACCGGGACCGGGACACTGACTCCGACCTTCGCGGCTCCGCTTGTGCCTCCGGCGCGGCGGGAGGCGGTGCCGGTGCGGGCGGTGCCGGTGCGGGCGGTGCCGGTGCGGGCGGTGCCGGTGCGGGCGGTGCGCCGGCGCCGGCGAAGGGCCGTTGGCCTTGGTGGCCTCTGGCGGCGTGGGAGGCTTCGCCTTGGAGGTCGTGGACGGCGCCTGAGGGAACGCAGGCGCTTGTGGCACCGGTGGCTGCACGGGCGGCACAGCTTGACCTTGGAACCACACGAGCTCGCGTTTGCAAAGACCATGCTGGTCATCCACATGACAGTAACGGCCAAGGGCGTAGTGCAGCATGAAACTACAGATGTGGTGGTCTTGGCACCACTTCTCGTCCACTCCAAAGTTGCATGCCTTCGCCGAATCGGTCAAGAATTGGTACAGCCACAGTCTCGCTGGAGAGCCCGGAGTGTCCAAAAACTGTCGCCAGGAGACCCACTGACCTGTCGGGATCGCCGAAGTGAGGTGTTGTTCGTAACGGCCCGCATACGGCACAATCACGTGTGGGACTTTCCACAAAATCGTGAGCAGAGAATTCTTGTGGAACTCGTACAATGGCCGTTGCAGGTTGAATTTTGACCAGGTCCTCACAGGGGATCATCTCCAGGGGCATCATTTCCCTCGTGCCATTGGGTCCAGTTACATTCCAGGGCCCCAAACTGATAAACTCTTTGTCAAAATAGGTGCCAAAGCCCTGCCTCACCACCGTCACGATGAACTGATTCACGATATTCTGGTCCTGCTCGACAGCATGGTAAACCACCTTTGAGGTCAGGAGCCGCAAAAGCGTGAAGCTCATTGCACTTCGGCCTGGTGAAATTAGCTCAGGAGCCCAAACAAACCTTTGCAGCCCAAAAATAGAATGTATAGATTTGCGAAAGAACACTTCTGTTACTGGAAAAACTCTAGCTATTCGGGCTGTCTTGAAAATGATATAATATAACTATAGGTCCTACATATACATTACGTTGCTATATTTGTACTCATTACAGTAAATATGTAAATATAGAATACATATTCCAAAACATCGTGCAACCTGCCTCTAAAAATCGCGTCTAGAGCGTGAAGGGCTCTCTCTGCTGTGGTTCCTTGAGGGGACTCGCTCCTCAAAATTGCTTCGACCTCGTCCTCAACAATTCAAATGGAGTCACAGCTGGTTACAGCAAAGCAAGCCCCCAACAGATTCGGATAGCGGATAGAATAATTACCATTAATTACCTACAAATAGAATCTTAAAAGGATACTTGAATAGCAGATAATAGCAGTTGGAAGCATCCACATCTGGTTCTCGATCTGGCACCAGCTCCGGGTTTGCGTGAAGCGCCCGCTCTGCTGACAAGCTGTATTGCCAGCCATCCATTTTGGAGCCATCGTAGCAAGTAATCTCAGCACGCCAAAGCACTCGGCCTTGAATCCAGGCCACAGCCACGGGGACCTGGACGAGGTCAACATGTGGGATGGTCAACTGCCATGGGGGGAAGCAAAAAAACGCTCGAAACGACCAAAATGTGTGCAAAAAGCCAAAATCCAGTGCCCACCCCGCCTGCCCTCCACGAATGATGATTCGATCTTCGCAAAAGCTCAGCATCGAATGGGTTTTTGCCTAACAACTGCGGCCAAGAACTGCTATTTGATGATTGAAATCCAGCTAACCCAGATCAATTTGACTGGAAATTGATTGGCTGATTTAAAAATTTGGCTGATTTGACCCCCATTTCCAGCGACCCTTCACACATTTCTTCAGGCCTTGATTTCCTCCACGAAGCGATTGCGCTTTTCCCCCAGCTCCGGCAGCTTCGGGGCGTGGACTGGAGGAACTTTCAGCACCACCCCATCTGCTGGGGCGCGCAGGCCATCCGCTTCCTCAGAAGCTTCCTTCAGCATCTGCTCCACATTTCGGAGCTGCTGAGGATTCCCGGAAATCCACACCTCAAGGGCCATGGGATATGGCCATCAACAACACGCGAAACATATCGAAACATCAGAAAAGCTGGTGGCAAAATAGCTGATGACCCGTTCCGGTACAAGGGGGTTCGACCTATCACCGAATGTGGCTTGAGATGTCACAACAAAAACTCATGAATCACAGCGTTGAAGATCAAGTTTTCTGTTTCCAAGATTTACCAGTAAGCACCGGGAACAGATCCATTGTATGGCCTGTGTCACATCATACCAAGTAGGCAAAAATTGCTCCACACACATCACTACAAAGTTGGTGCAGGTGCGATATCAGAAATTCCGTCCGATTTCAGGACCTTACATGTCCAATGTAGCCCTATATGGTAGCCTCTCCCATGAATCGGTTAAAAAATGACCATGAATTTCGTCAAGTGGCCTCTGGAAAAAGAGGAGCTACGACCAAGAGGTCCGCCCCACGCACTCGCGTCAAGATATTGCGCGCTTGCTGGATGAGTGTCTGTGCCTGTCGATCAGTGCACCTCACCTCACGTTGCGGGGCAGGTCAATGAAATGCGGATCTGCTGTCACTCCCGGTCCCCCATTTGGAAATAGCCTCTGATCAAACATGGTTGGGAAATACCCCAGCCAAAAAAAGAGTAATCGATGGATTCTTCCAGCGATGCCTCCATCACTTCGTGGATGGGATCCTTTGCCAGGTACCTGGTACACCCCCTTTTCCACACCCCTGGGGGCCATGACCCTGCGCACACGTCCATTCTTGATGTCGTTGCTGTGTTTTAACACCCACATCGCCGGGCGACGGTCCTTCTGCTCTTTGGCCTGAGATGTACGATGGATATCGAGGTTTAGGGATGTTGGTGGTTGAATGGTGGATTTAATGGTTGATTTAATGGTGATTTAACGATCATTAATTTTCGTTTGATAAATGGATATCCCACTTTACTCATGATCAAATGACATATATCACATATCTACATCGTTGAAGATCAAACCAAGATCAACATCAGCTCCAAGATGTCCCACCTTTAGTCTCAACGTCCCGCCTTTTTGGCATCTTGCCAAAATTTTAAGGGTCTGTGGTCATAGACATTTCGCTTCAGCGGATCTGACCTCACTGGAAAAAAATCGCTTCGGCACGCCTCAAAATGCAATGGTTATTGACCCAAAAATTGGATGGTTGAATGAATACTTCACAGGCTTCATGTTTGCTTTTGAACCAACACCACTTTGTTGGGGGCCCAGTTGGGGGGGGGTCTTAAACTTGGGGACCCAAAACACAGTCAGATCTCACGTGTTGTTGTGTCATTTCAAGATCCGGAATCTGCAGAATCTCCCGCAGTCTCGGAAAGACCCGGTTTGGTGTTTCTCAAAATTGTGTTACTCCAAATCATTGGGGACCTCCACTTAAAATAACCAAGACCTTGGATGATAACTTGGGGTTCCCCCCATGTTAGGAAAGCCCCATGTATTGACCATTGGCAGCCATTATTCACGAGTAGCCACTATTAGCCATTATCAGCCATCAACCGCTATTAATCACAATGATTTGCCAATATTAGAGTTATTAAAATTCACCACCAGTCAAAAAATCACCAGTAATGGAACCACTCACCAATGATGGTTCGCCATTCTGAGGCGCTTCAACCTTTGCCATTGCCGATCTCAGCCCCGCACAGCGTCTCGTAGGCCTCAACGATTCTCCCCAGGTCCGAAGGAGCTGCGCCCAGCGGGTCCAAGTCCCGGCGCAGCTTCACATAGGCCTCTTTGATTTCTCGGCCTTCCGGGGTCAGGGCAATGGATGCTACATGTACCCTCTGGTAATTTAACGTAGCTATTGAAAATGACCATTAATAGTGGGTTTTCCCATTAAAAATGGTGATTTTCCATAGCTATGTTAAATTACCAGAGGGTATAAACATAGATGCATGCCTGATATAGATGGATAGATACATGGATACATGGATATATGAATGGATGGATAGAAGGATTGATAGACAGACACAAATCACTATTATGAATCATCCTCATGACTATTAAATACTATTATTGCCATTGCTGTCACTATTATATTTATATTATATGCTATTGTAAACTTACATACATACTAACGTACGGTACTATATATGAGCAGGGACCCCCACACCCCCTCCACCCAGCCAGATGGTTCCCCCCCCCTGTGGCAGGGAGGGGGGGTTTTCTCAGCAGCCAAGCCATGGTGTATGTAGTCTTTATAGTGCATATAATGCATATGTATCGATAATTAGAATGGATATACTATATGTAATATAGAGTGTATGTGTAGTGTATATATATACATATATATATATAATATGTAAGATATAAATAGAATATATGCAATATATATTTATAACATATATATATATATATACATCGTATATGTGGTTTTTGATAGAATATAGATAGTATATGCCACATGTACTGTATCCACAGTAGATGTAATATATACAATATAGGTAAATATGTTCGTTGAATAATTTTTACATAGTATATGTGGTATATTGAATATCGACAGCAATACACGCTGTATATCTAGAGTTTATGTGTATATATATATATGTATATATATGCATATATATATATATACATATATATATATATACATATATATATACATATATATATACATACATATATATATACATATATATATATACATATATATACATATATATATATATATATACGTGTACAGTATGTACAATGTAAACGAAATATGTGATAGATACAAGATCAAGATATCAATCTGTAGTATCTAGAATGTGCATATATATATATTATTGTTTTTCTACTGTACATATGTCTAGGTTTGCATAGGTAAGCTTTGCGTAATCCATAGGTAGCAAATATGTTGTAAACCATGTGCGAGGCACGCTATAGGCGGTTCGAAAAAAAGGTTATGATAGAAATATACAGGTAGGTCCGTTGACGAGGTCGTGGCTCTCAAGTGCTGCAAATAACGTAGAGATGCGAGGTTGGAGGGGTGGAAAGGGGAGTATATATGTGTATATGTGTATGTATATGTGCAAATAACATGCAAATACTAGGTTTTGGGGGGGTGGGGGGGGTTAGGAGTGGGGGGGGGATACCATTGGGGGGGAGGGGGGGGTGGTGTGGGGGTCCGGGGACCGGGCTCATATATAGAGACACTATATTATATATGGTGCGTATGTATATATATATTATGATATAATATATATATATATATGTATACGTACTATTATGTAACCAGCCGGAAACCCCAGCCGCCCTCACCTTCTGCTGCTCGGTCAATCTTGAGCACATCATAAAAGCATGGTGCGTTCGGGGTTCCGTTGAGACTTGTCGCTCTGGAAACGTGGGAGACTTCATCTCCATTCTGCTTCGCCAAAGCCACCTTCTTGTCGTGGCTGCGGACCAAACCTGCAGATGGATGCTGGATGCTCTCTAAATGTTGTTGGAACCTCAACCAAAAAGGTCAAGAATGATCGTGGTGATACTTTTGTCAACCAAAAATGTCACAATTCCAAGCGTGCAAATTGCTATGTATGCACATAGTGGACATACATGTATGTATGTATGTATGTATGTATGTATGTATGTATGTACATATATGTATACCTGGAAAACCGTAAAAGCAGAAATTTCGGTTCTTTGCCAACTACAGCCGTGTCCGGCTGCAATCCCTCTACCTACAAGTCAATAGTCTTCCTGAATCTTGTATTTGTCGGGCTGGTTCTGACAGTATGAGTAGTTTCTCGTCTAGAGGCAGTATTTGGGCGAAATATGGTTATTGTTCCTTTTTTATAGTGTTGCACAAATACTAGTATTTTATGGGCACATCCAAATTTGATGGCAAATATGGTAGTATGTGTGGCCAGATTTGGGTACCCTACCATGACTCCCTGTCGGAGGATGCTGTCAAAGGATTTGAACAACCCATCAAAAACAAAAACCCAAATATGCAACCAAAAAAAGTCTCTTGGGCGTAAAACCCAAATATGGACAAAGACAATTGTTCGTACAGGTTCCTAGGTATATGTACACTTCAAGGACTAACCCCTTACTAAACATCAGGACCCACTCACTCACAATCCCCATTTTTTACCTCCTAGAGCCTAAAGTACTTATGGACTCCAGGGTAGGCTGAAAATTTCCTGTGTCCTTGGCTACTGGTTCAACTGTGCTTCAATCGACATTTAAACATGCGGAACAGGCCCAGCCATTTAAACATACGGATGGAACTGGTGTTTCATACTACCTCCGGGGCCTCGCAGTCTGGCCCGCCCTCCACATGTTTAAATGGCGTTACCGTATGCTAAAAGTAACAAAATTCTGTGCCAAAAAGGGACGATCTAAGGCCGAAGGCTGCAGTTGATCGAGTGGCACTGGCTTGCCTCGGGTCACACCCTGAAGGGGATGCAAGCCCTGTGCTTTGGAAAATCAATATATGGTGATATGTATGTGTATAGATACTATGTGTATATATATATATATATTATTATATTATATATATATATTATATATATTATATATATAATATATATAATATATATAATATATAATATATATATGATATATATAATATATATATTATATATATTGTATATATATATTATATATATTATATATTATATAATATATATAATATATAATATATATAATATATATAATATATTATATATATTATATATATTATATATATTGTATATATTATATTATATATATACATACATGACATAAACATACATACAATATATATTGTGTATATATATTACGTGTATATATATTATATATATATTATATTATATATATATATATTATATATTATTTATTATATATTATATATTATTTATTATGTATTATATCTTATACATTATATATTAAATATAATATATTATATATAATATATTATATATAATATATTATATATTATATATTATATATTATATATTATATATTATATATTATATAATATATTTATTATATATTATATATTATATTTATTATATATTATATATTATATATTATATATTATATATTATATATTATATATTATATTTATTATATATTATATATTATATATTATATATTATATATTATATATTATATATTATATATTATATATTATATATTATATTTATTATATATTATATATATATTATATATATATACATGTATACATTTATTTGCGTACAAAACATATCATTGTGTTCAGGATCCAACTCATATCAATATCTATTTGTAACCCCACACTCCAATCCAATCCACTCATCAATCAGTGAATAGCATAGGATTGGTGGCTGCATTCGAACCCACAAAAGGAGGTCCCGGAAGAATATTTTCCCTTATGAATAGCCATAAATAACCCCACCCCAACAATGTGGAACAGTACAGGATCGAATCCATTTGAGGTCCTCAAAGTTTGGGCTGGATTTTAGGCAAACAAAAACAACAACGATTGTGCATCAGTGCGATTTGGACCAAAAGCGCCTGCGAGCTTGAAAATCTCCAGCGTGCGACCTTGATAACTGATCCCCTTCAGTCGTGTCAAGACCACTTCCGCCACTGCCTTACTTCGGCACCAGATGGTGCAGCCACCGCCACTGTCTGCCTGGCGTTGCACCGAGCTGATCGGCAGCAGGCTGAGCTCTTCCTCGGCAAACTCCACATCCACCGCGCGGAACCAGGCGCTATTGAAGAAGGCACCGATCGTCTCCTGGGCGGATAAACAACGGAACTGGCGCCAGTTGAGTTGAAAAAAAGGGTGCTTGTTTTTTGATTCCACTGGATATATTACGGATGTTTTCCCCAAGTCATGGCATTTAAAGATGCTCAAACCTTTTTGAATATGAGGAGCACGTCATTTTTGGAGCCAAGGATCGCTAGAGTTGGAACTTGGGACACGTGTGTTCCAGATGTTGTGGGATGAACATATCCAGCACATAAAAGCAACTATTTTGGACGCGCGAGACATCAGGGGGGATGTTTATGTAGCTCTGTATAGCTCTGTGTGTGTGTGTAAATATTCATATATGTATAGATTATCCCATCGAAATATATGGGTACAACGCTGGCCTCATCAACAGAGGGCAGAAGATTGTTCACGGTGAGCGGAATGAAAACTCCATCCTGGCGCTTCAAGCGGAAGCACCAATTGAGTCATGGTGAGCATTGAACCATGCAATGTTGGTGCTAATGTGTACGTTCATCTATATGTATATATATATACATATATACATATGATGTAGATATGTGTGTATATATATATATACACATATATATATATGTATATATAGCCTCGTCCCACCTCTTGGAACTGCGCACAACCCGAATAATTAGGTTGGTAAAACTTGTCAATTCCGGGACGAAATTTTGTCCCGGAATTGACAAGTTTCATTAGGGTCATCATCATCATCATCATCATCATCATCATGACATCATCATCATCAGCATTAGTATGAACATGAACACGGTGTTTGAAGACCTCTCCCAGAAACATGTGAGACCAGTTCTGGTTTTTGTCTCGTCACGGGAGCTGCAAGTCTCGCACAGCTTTGGGACCTCTCCCAATCAACTGCTTCTGCAAGTTCACATGAACGTTAACATCCCACCCCATCCCCCCCCACCCCACCCCGCGTGTGCGTAGCATCAACTGCTTCTGCAAGTTCACATGAACGTTAACATCCCACCCCATCCCCCCCCCATGGTATGTAGTTCCAAGAGGTGGGACAAGCCTATCTATACATATGTATATATATATGTATATGTGTATATATGTGTATATATATATGTGTATATATATATATGTATGACTATGTGTGTATAGGTCTGTCTAGATGTAGATACTTGTGTGCACATGTGCATAGACATAATTATATATATATAGGTAGGTAGGTAGATATAATGTGTATAGACATAATGACTGTGTGTATATATTGTATGTAATACATACATATGTATGTATATATTATATATATATATGCAATACATATTGTAGAATATGTGCATACAAACACCCGTTTGAGGCTACTCCCTGGTTCAAGCCACAAATCGAATGACCTTCAAATTGCATCCAATCTGAGCTTCCAGCGGTTTGTTGGCCGCTCGGGACACTCATGGCACCCACGGATGGACCGAGTGACCATGAATGGAGCGGTGACCCACAGCTGGTCTCTCAGCAATGGGCAGGGGCGGCTGAAAAATCCCAACTTCTGGGGAGGTGTTGCCATGGTGATAGGCTGTGAAACTACTGACGTTTGCTCTGGAGTTATTTGTTGCAGAGCTTGTTGAAAGTGCCATTTGCGCTGCACTGTGCTTAACAAGCCATTCTGATCATTACTGGGCCCACCAGAGTGTCAAATAAAAATGAATGGAACCAACCTGCTTGGGACTGTAGTTGGGGTTAGATTCTATTGCAGTAGTCATCGGCTCTGGAGTTCGCTTTGAGCTAGAAGCCAAACCAGGTATTGCGAATCTGCGCTGTGGAAAGCAGAAGAGCATGACTTCCAACTTCCAACGGCACCTTTGATTCCAGAGTATACAGCTCTGACTTTTTTCAGTCGCTCCCAAGCAACCTCTAGAATTTCGTTCAGCAGCCTGTTGCATGGCAATTCAAGCTGCAGGTGCGACTTGCAGGCTACGTGCATGGTGGTCTTTGTCCAACCACTCAAGCTATCCTGATGCTGCGGCTTCAGCCAACTCCAAACTGCAAATGGCTTTGTGCGAAAATCCATTGATCATATTATATATATATAATTACATATGTATGTGTGTGTGTTTATGTTTAATTATATTATGTCCGGCTGAAAATGTGGAAGTTTTGAGGCGGCCCCACCGAATCAAAGCTGGGAAACATGGAAACGACTGCTGCCCCGACCTGCTTCTTTTTGGGCCCGCGATCTTTTTGGCCTGCGTGCAAAATGTTGGTGGCCCCCCACTGAAATTGGTGGCATCTGTGCCTGTCATGGGATATCATATGACATCGACGGCATGTGTTGCACATCACCGCCTCGTAGCTCTTGTTACGAGTTTTGTTGAGGCTAGCCTCCAGCTCCTGTGGCGATTCTGCATTTAAAAATGTCAGGGAGTCATTGTGGAAGAAAACAGATCTCCAAAATGAGAAGCAGTTCAGCTGGCTCCTTTCTGAACCTTTCCTCATTGTACTTGGAGTTCGCTAGATCTTTGAGCTGACCCCTGGGCACGTGCTACCCATGGCAACCGCAGTGGAAATCTAGGTGGGTGCCGGTGACTTCAATCGTCTGTAACAATACATTTCACGGAAACCGGAATACAGTAATACACCACTTAATAAATGGGTACACAGCCACAACTGCAAGTGTTATGTCCCAACTTCTATCATTGCAACCATGGTTTACACCTATTTAACGCCTGATAAAATAACCCCAACTGCACCATCTACACCCCCCGGTGCTTCGATTCCCATGAGGCTGTAGCTCGTAGGCTTTCACCAGCAAGTCGTAGAGCTCGGGCAAATCCTGGACATGGATTCCTCCCCGATTTGGTAACACTTGGTGTGGAGGCTTTTTTGGGGGGTAAGTTACCAAAGGTACTCATTTTGGAGAGGACAATCAGAGAATAGATGTGCCGTGGTCAAAACATCGTATATGGTTTATGGTCGTCCATCCCATATTAGGAATCCTTACTACGGATATATATTAAATCCTAGTAATGGATTGATGACCATCCCCCAACTAAAAAAAAACGAACATGTTTGGACCACGGCACATATGGTTTCCCAGCGTTTCTGTACCATCAGTAATGACAGGGTGGTCTTTTTCGGGGATCTCGCAATTGTGAGTGACCCCACTTGGCAGAACTAGTTGTGGGGATGGTATTATGGATACAAGTTGTGCTAGTACAATGAGGATGACTTTAAAAAAGGGGAACATAGGGGAACCTTGACCAACAATGATCAGATTGCTGAGTCGTTGAGCCACCAGTTGGGATGGAAAGCGGTGCTTGGGCACTTGGGGTTGTCCAAAATGGGTTTGCCTCTAAAATCCGATGGTGGATGATCATTTTCCCAGTCATTTATATAATGTAACATACTGCCCCCATTCTCAGACACATTTAAAGATCATATCAAGTCGGTTATATCGATCGTATCAAGTTATATATTATATACCCATTGACTATCTCCGTATAACTTTTGTTGGTCAAATCCCCATTGTCTCCTTCTTCATGAAGTTCTGAAAGCATGGACACGTCTCCTGCACAGCTCATTTTTCAGCTCATGGCATGATGTCCGTGCCAAAATGCAATTTGCACACCCCGTAAGTTTGAACATAAATGGGGCGCCGCAGAATCCAAACATACCTCCCGTACAAGCCATATATCAGTCTTCCACGTAGCGTATATACGAGCTGCACAACTTGCAACCTGTCCCAATCCATATAGTATAAATTATGTTTGATTGACTGACTTATATACTAGTAGTAGTCACTCATGTACGAATCAGTTGCATCATCAAAGCAACGGCTCTTCCTGTTCCATATCATGGCTGTGGGCCGTATCCATTGGTATCCCCCCTTTTCAGACGCACCCATTGATAGCATCTCCATACGACTGTCTATGGTTGCTGGTGAAATCTGGTGAATATGATCCTTAAGTCAACCCCGGATACATAAACCCTACTAATTGTGGGCTTACCCCCACAGTAGTGATAAATTACCAGTAAAATTGGTCACCCTCCTATTAATAAACTGGTGTCTTATTAACCCTGGATTGACATCGCATGGACGGGGACATCATCCCCGCTGTCATTGGATCACCTGCGGCCGCAAATCAATCATTTCCCCTGAGGAGTTGCGAAAGACTCCACGAAACCTCAAGTCATGGAGATCATGGAGAAAGGGGACTCAAAAATGCTATGTAGTTTTAATGGAGGTTTTTGTAGGATTATTTAAGGGAAAATCTACGGGAAACCATGGTTTGTCCCATTGAACACAGGAGATTTTCCTATGAAATTTCTCTTAATCTTAAACCACTCCAATGATAGTAAGACCAGATGGTTAGATTTGTGGGACGCTTTCACCTAAACAGCTCGGGGATTGTGATTAAACCAAGGAAAATAGAGCGAGGCAGGGAGCCCAACAAATCTGTGGCCTTGAAATGTGTGTGGTATGGGGAAAAAAGAAACGTGTGATTTTTGAGGAGAAAATGATCAGAAACTGCTGAATTTGGGAGTACCCCATACTTGGACAACCGCACATGATGAAAAATAATCCAAGGTAAGAAAACAAATGACAACCTTTACATACTTTTGCTGGTTGGCCAGCTGGCACTCAGGTTTGCTGCTGAGACCCATCGCACTCGGGTCCCTTACTGCGAAAGCTGGTAGACCTTCTTGAAACCTCTTTCATCCTTGCGGTCACCGACTGGGTTGAAAGATGCTGAAAGCAGTGGCTCACCAGGTCGGTCACTTGGGGAAATGTTTCTCTTCCACTCTTCCAGGTCGGAGAATGTTCAAGATCGGATGAGTAAACCAAGGCAAAAACTGGGGGAGTACCTTTGTTCAATCCCGGGGGAAGCCCCTAATTGATCAACCAGTGCCCTCCAACCCAACCCATCCAACTCATAGCACCTCCTCTGGCACCCACTCCCACTCTTGGATGGTGACCTGATATACCAAGGTCACCAAGCTGGGACTAGTTTCATGCTGGAAACTTTTACCGTTTTCTGCCAGGAGATCACTACCACGGCTGGACTGTCAAAAAAATGTTGTATATGTGGGGGTACCCAAAAATAAATAGTTTATAATCGAAAATTGAGGGAATCCACTTAGGTGTCAAAGTCTGGGTTCTCCGCTTGCCGAAGCTTTCTCTCTTCAAGTTTTGGCTTGTAGAATTCCTTCAGCACACAAGCCCTCTGACCACACTGATTCGGTCATTCAACGACTTAATCCTGTGGATTGAGCCACGGCTTCTGAGGTATTAAAAAAACTCAGCCAACAGAGACTCCTAAACTTCGTCATGTGCTAAACCCAATACTACTCAATTACTGAGTCCCTGATATAACCATAAATCGCTATATAGTCAAAAATATGCCCAAAAAAACACTCGGTTTATGGCATTGCAATCCCACAATCCGACAACACACAGAACAAACCGCCCTGGGTTCCTGGTCGTCAGGTGGCCAGTCAGGAAGTGCATACCACCATCTGCAAAGTAGATCCGCTACAACCTGAGGCTTTTTGACGCTTCGGTGAAATCCTTCCTGGCCATGCTGGCCATGTCAGTACCAAAATCAGGTGACCTGAAATGGCGCCACACAAGAATTCTTGTAATGGGGAAAATGATGAACTGATGAAGCATCAAAATTCAGGGTGTCCTCTTTTCAGAGAAAAAACATACAACATCATATAACATCTTGTAATTTGGGGGTTGCCCACATTGGACAACAATGCGCCCGACATGGAGTGTGGCCTGCTGTTTGGGTGTGCGATCGCGCTTCTTGACCAGATTGTCTTTCTTATCTTCTTCATCTGCGTCCTGAAACGGATTGTCAGGAACTCTTGGCACAAGACTTTTGTAATTGGAGAGGTTTGTAAAAGAATGAATAGACGTCTGATAGAATGATGGATCCATACAGTGTTGTGTTCACAGCTTCAGAGTGCATTTGTCTGAAAAATGAGGGATTTTATATCCACGGTCATGGCTATTTTAATAATACAATGACGAAAAAATCATGAAAATGATGATCATTAGCCAATACCGTCAAAATTGGGGAGAACAGGGTGCCACCGCTTCGCGTCCTCGTCCGGCCCATCTCTTTCCCTCTTCAGCAGTGCCATCCTGCGTCAAACTTCCCCAGAGACGATGGTCTCGGTTGGTCAGGTCAGGCATTGCCCATTTCGATTACAAGTGGCAGAAACGATCCCGAAATCCAAAACTCAGGTCCTCTGACTTTTGGTGGCCTTTGCCTTGGCTTTCTTGTTATCTCCTTGGTCTCCTTGGTCTCTTTGGCCCAACACCCAACATCACCCAACCCATGACTCACCCCGTCTGGGACGCCGGCCTTCATCAGAGCTGTCACCTGCAACCGCTCCATTTTCTGGCCATTCTTATGGTGAATTGGCGTGCGAAAATGATGATCATCTATGATGAGCCGCGAAAAAAAAAAAACAGTCTGAAAGGGACAAACCCATTTGGACCCCTTCGTCAGCTGGAGTTTTTTGGCGTAAACATCTGCTGTCTGATCTGATTTTGGGAAGGTTTGCTCCAGTTCAGCTGATTGGAAGTCCATCGCAGTGGAACGGTTGGGTGTTTTGAATCGTTCGCTTGCTGAAATCCACATCCATCATCCAAGGTGCACCCCGATTGAGCGCCGGACTGCTACTGCTGCTGGAGCTGTCACTACTTGAACTTTGCCTGACTTCGGGCTGGGTCAGATGGATCTGAAAATGAGGGATATCTATACATAAAAACCATTCTATATATAATGATAATATTTCGAAAAGGGCTTTAATGGAACATATTATATATATATATACATACGTATATATAATATGATTCTATAACCAAAACCCACCCCAAAGAAACGCTACTTTGTAGCACTGGGTGTGTTCATTTTGGGGTCCTCTGCTATGGCAGGGTTATTTCTGGTTGGGGACAAGAAGGCCCATGGCCTTTGGTAAATTTTGGGAAGGAAAAGAAGCAAACAAAAAAACAAGGAAGGAGGCATACTAGTGACATGGATTAGCATGGATTTGAAACAATGAATCAAGGAATGCAATCAGAATTAGAATGTTGAATGCACATAGCCAAGAAATCCTGAGAACATGTATGTGTAGATCAACTACTTCGGTATCTTTCAGCTCGCCCGCTTGCCCCTTACCACCACGGCAGGATGATTGCGAAAAATGATCGTGATTGACTGGTTAGTTTGACCATTCCAAAATATTTGAGATTGGTGTTTTCTAATGGATTTGCGGCACTCCCCAATATACTGTATTGGATACTACTGTATTTCTTTTCATGAGCGCTATGCAGTTCAAGTCGAACTACACGTCAGCAGCAATCCTTGAGCTGATGGAGAAAGGAAACCTAGAACAAAAGTGTTCGAAAAAATGGAGTCATTGAGCGGCGGGATATGCTGCTTTCATGCACCTTTTACACGGGACCCTGCGGGGTAAGCCAAAGCTTGTGCCAAATGCCTGGATAATACTGTATACCTCTATATAATCATCAATCAACAGGGACTTAGCGGCATTGCTTAAGTGTCCATGGATGCCTCTGTTATCTGAGTCTCCCGGTTTTCTGCTGCCTCTCTTCTTTCTTTTTTGCAGCGCCCTTTGCCTGCGGTCAAGACCCTTTGGCAGGTCAGTTGCCCTGCCCCCGATGTTTACAGTGTTACAGAACCAGGCGTGCAGCAAACACTACAACTTACACTTACCCTTTTTTGAATCCTTTCCACAGGATCGCATTCCAAATTTCTCGGTTTCATTCTGGAAGTACCAGCCTTGCCCTTTCCCTTTCCTGCTTTGGGTTTGCCGCCTGCGGGCCACGCAACAATTGAATGAATCGAACCTGGGCCATTCTGTCTCACCGCTTGGCCCATGGCCATTGCGGTTGGTTTGACGATGATGCTCCACCGGCCTGTAGACTTGCCATTTGTGTCCGCCTGGAGTCAGCTGCATGGCAGATTGGGGGCCGTGTTTCTCGACGACAACGATGACCACGACAACAACATCATCACCATCAGCATCGTCGTCGTCGTTGTCGTCGTCATCATCATCATCGTCACCACCATCATCCTCATCATCATCATCATCACCATCATCACCACCATTACCATCGCCATCATCACCACCACCAACACCACCACCACCACCATCACCATCACCATCACCATCACCATCACCATCATCATCATCATCATCATCATCATCGCCAGCGTCATCGCCATCATCATTGCCATCACCATCACCATCATCATCATCATCGTCATCGTCATCGTCATCGACATCATGGACATCACCACCATCACCACCATCACCACCTTCGCAATCGTAAATGACGTGAAATACAATATTTATCAACAGACCCAGTTGCCTGGGGTATGGTGCAAACCTTTGCCACCTTCAAGAGGTTTGCTCATGAGGTTCGAAACCATTCTCTCGTTTTGATTCGTTTCAGCCAGCCTGCAAAAAGGTTTCAAATGGAGCCTCTGACCCTAAACAAAGCCTTAAATCGGCAAAGAAAAAGATAGTTCAACGGATACATGTATCATTTGGTTTTGATTTCCATACATGGGTGGAACCAGAACTCTGTCCCTGCAGCCTTAGGCTTTGCTTGCGCCAAAGCGGCTAGGGTCATGTTCTTAGCAGGTCAGACAGGGTGGAAGGTGGCGTTTCAACAGTGGGCTGGAGCCCGGTCATGTGCACCAACGAAATGAGGTTTTGTCAGCACAAACGATGATTTAACCAGCACATGGATTCTCCTTGCCATAGGGATTGACTGTACCCAAAACGAAAATTGGATTACCTGGAACTAAAATTGACCAATGAATCATGGGATTTGGGTCTGTTAAGGATTTGCTCGATCTATCACCAATCTATGGCGAAAAAAAATCGATCTAAAAAAGGTGCCAAGGGAAGACCCTACTTTATGACTTTATGACATCTGTGGCCGGAAACTGGGGAATTTCTATCCTCAACTCCATCGGATGGTGCTGGGCTGCCCTGCATCGTCAACCGCTGATGACTTGATGTTCACATTTTTCAAGTTTGACAACGGAGCATCATCATCCATCGCGCCAACCTCCCCGTTGAAGGTGGCCACTGCGAAAACCGGCAGCGTCGAGTGGATTCCCACTCCACTGAAACCGGGAAGTGAACCACCGAAACTGCTGTTTCTTGTTGCTGTCTTGGACTCTAGATGGACGTAGTTGGGATGTGTTCAACTAGCTGCGTTCATCAAATCTTAGTCTGAGCACATTGCCAGCAACATGGCTTTGGTATAGGGCCAATCAAACAGCTTCCTAGTTCTGTCTTGGGACTGAGAAGTTTACAAGCTGGGACAATTGTGAACATATTCCCACGCACCTAAGTACTTGGCTATATGATGTTCCCATATGCTGCTTTTTTTCATTTCTCCGCCTAGAGCCAGGGGCAGCACATATCTGCGGCTCAGCCCTGCGAAAGTGTTTCAGATGCCAAACCTACGCGGTGCCCACCTTGCGGAGTCACAACCCGGTCATGTCACAACGGGTCGTTCTGTTTTCGGCTCAGTCTTCGGCGCAGGACTTTGCCGCATGTTGCAGCTAAGCTGTTGGCCGGCCTATGGAGTTCTACTGAAGACCTGGGAGGAATGGCATGAGGGGCAACCTCTCCAATCTGGCCATTCTTGATTTTTTTACGACCATGGAAGACCATGAAACCTTACAAGCTTTCAGTGATGCTTCATCTTGTTGATTTCTTGGCATGATAAAGATGTACCAAGGCGGACACTCTCCCTCTCAAGCCCATCGGAGCAGTCAACTCAATGCAGCTGCACCATGACCCGGCGTGAGTCCTGCACAGAGCATCACGGGGATCAAGGAGTGCCTTGAAAAGGAAGAAAATCGGCAGTGTTTGGTACAAAACCACCCCCATTCAAGGTGTTTATTGGGGAGAATAGCAGGCGTTTGAGCCCTTTAGCAAATATTCTCCCAATATTCTCTACTACGTATTTTCCCAATTACGACTTTTGTGGGAGAATACATTCCTTGAATTTCTTTCAAGGGCAGTTGGTCCTTGGACTCGAAGAGCCAACCTCTACCATCTGCGAGTCGAAGAAACCACGTGGCATTGACCCTGCATCGCCTCGTTGTCGCTGGGACCCACTGGATTTTACCATTGACACCATCAGTTGTTGGGTCTTGGGTCTTGACATGTCTTGACTATAAAACATATGGGGATATCATTGAAAATGCTGGTTGGTTGATGACCACTTTTTTTTTAGATTCGGACCCTCATGGGACTTTCAGGCTTTGTATAAACTTCTGTGAGAAACTTTTGGCTTTCATCATTGGCTTCAAGATCTTTCAAAAATCGGGCCGTTCTCATTTTTAAAAAAAATCGTCGCCAGCACTGCCATCAGCAGCTTTTCAGTTGTTACTGCCATATCTGCCATCAGAATAAGTTCCTGACTCATCTATGGCAACGCAGTCGCCAGGGTGGACTGTGAGGCCAGTGCGGGCCTGGCTACGGCCGCCAGGCCCTCCCCATTTCTGGAGATTCGGCCTGAACTTTTCGACATCTGGGGTTGTCCAAGAATAAGTTACAGTGCCCCCAAAACCCGGTGGTGGTTTGTGATGGTTTGTCATGATTTCTCATGCTTGATCATGGTTGATCATATGGTTATTCATAGTCCATGGTGGTTTATCATAGTTTATCATCACTTCCCCGGCTTTTTAAAGTCCGATATTGCGGTCTTAACCAGTTCTCCATGTGGAAGTCGACCTCATCGGAATACGTGGGAGCCGCTCGGATCTCCACATCACTGTCGCACACCACGGTGTAGTGCCTGTGGGAATGGGATCTGCGATTGATTTTCCATACGGATGAAGAGACTGGTATCTCCACTAGCTCTCTTGGCGCCAAGGTTTTGGATCTCTGGAGCGTGAAGTTGGTAAGTTGGTCATTCCATTCCAGATATTCCAGGAACTTCTTGCAACTCATCCCATCCCCCAGGTCCCACAGGGTCCCACACCACATGCCACGGGCAAAGTCTCGTGCTTCCGCCTTCGGTCTCACCTGGGATATGAAGCGTGAGTCTCATGGGGGATATCATGGGGATATAGGCCTTAATCAGTGATGGATTTAAGTCATGAAAACTATGGTAAAATATGTTTGCAATGGGTGTAGGCAGTCAAATGTAATGGGGATATTATAACCGACAAATATTATTATGCCATTTTGATTTGCTTAAAAGTTAGAGGTAAACCCCCCAAATCCTATGCCTATGATCTTGAACAGTGTTTTCCCATGAAAAGGTATCCCGTTTCCCGAAGTTTGGACAAACCCATCTATGAGCCCCAACCTTACAGAGCAAATGGAGCAATGCAGAAGAGTGGCGGTCGCACCAAGCAAACACATCTACGAATTGTATCCAACATTATCCAACTATCTCACTCAATCTGCGTAAATTTCACCAAACTGTTGGCTTTCAATCAGATGAAATTCTGACTCTTTCCAGTGCAACTGTGGCCTTTTGCTGGGCACCGGACCTCACTCATCACCAAGAGCCGGTCTTTGGTTTCGAAGACCCATCCTCGGCCATCCGCCAACTTCAGAAACCTCAGACCCAGAAGAGCCGGGAACGTGGCAGAAGTTACATGTCTGAGGACATCTGCGGAGGATAATCCAGCACCGTCCACCATCAACCATGCAGCTTTACACTTCTTCCGCATCCTTCAACATCTGTATGGCAAAGAATTTCATCCTCTCTCCCGCTCACCACTCCATCTGCGCCTAAAAGCCCAAAACAAAACCAATAGAACAAGCCATAGCTTCCCAAAACAACACGTCAGAAAGTCGAAGCAAAAACAGCAGTTCCACTTTGGTATACTTTGATATGGGTGGATTCTACCCAGCAACCGCGCATTCGCCACAGTGCAACGCTCATCCACTGCGATGCAATCACCTGGCCGTGGGTCTTTTTGAATACCATACCCTCCAGTAATTTAAAATAGTTATGGCCGGTTCACTATCGAGTTTCCCTTTAAAAGTGTGACTTTCCATAGTTATGTTGTATTGTCAGAGGGTACCAGGTGTCACAGTGGAAACATGATGCCTCATGATGCAGGCCTGAAAGCAAAACCACTCCAGTGCGCGCATCATCGGAATACCTGTGACCCAAAACGGCAGTTTCTCCGCACCAATGGTACCCGTGGTCATCCATAGCATTGAAGAGAAACCCTGGTTGCTGGGAATGTCCGGGCAAACGTGCCAAATGCTACTGTGAAGTTAGCAGAGCATAGCAGAGCATAGCAGAGCAGTCTGGCTGTCCACTCATGGCGAGGCACGTGGGCGAAATCCGAGTCTCCACATCATCTTCGCAGATCAGGCAGTAGTGCCAAAGCCTATTAGCCGAACACTTTCCAGCCATGAGTTCTCCTGCTGGGGATGAAGTGACTGACTAGTGACCTTGAAAGCCTTGAACTGCCAACTACCCATATGGCCCATGCGTTGACATATATGTTGTTTCCCACGCAACATGTTCCTATTCCGTTGCTTCACATTAGGAAATTTTGTTGATGCCCTCCATTTGGAGTTGTCTCAAAATTTGTCGCCGTTTTCCCCAGTACTATACTTGCCATATATTGACGGTCCCATCCTCCATTGTTTGATGTCCCAAAGTTGATGGCTAAATCCCTCCAACTTCCCAATTTGGCTGATTGAATAGCCAAGTTTCTTGTTTAACCATGTCATCGCCATTTTTCCCGAGTTGGTCAATATCCCCTAGTTGGAAGTTTCCTCCAATTAGGGTACCCCCAAATAATCCAAAAGTAGAAAACCTTAGAATCCATGGTTTTGGGGATCCACCATTTCAGGAAACCTCCATATCCCTAATTGGCTTCCCAGCTCCCGTTCGCTGTTGTGCCAAGTGGCCCACGTTCGAACTCCTGCACCTCTGTCACGACCAGCAAACGATCCTTAGCCCCGCGCGACGCAAAACCTGTGGTCCACTTGGATTGGTTTAAGTCTTGGGGATGACCTACCAAGCCTCTAAGCGGTAGTTGTTTCATGTGGCTACGAGCCAAAACCCCGAAACCCTAAGTACCATAAAATAGTTAGCTCATGGGCGCTTATTCCCGCAAATTGGTAATTTTATTGGTTTTGACTCTTTGACCCATCCACATGTCATGTTTTATGTCATTAATTTAGTGATTTGGGATCATCCCATTGTATCCACTATCCACCATCCAGGTAGCCCCCAACCGATTGTTCATTTGCTTGAATCCCCATGATCATTTGGGAAGAATCCAACAAGGGAAAAGGATCAGAACATAGGGACAAGAAAATATGTTCCTCCTGATCTTTGCGTAAATCATGTTGCTGATCTGGATACCATTCAAAAACAATTGACCCGACCCGTATTGTTTTCGAGCCCCTGCTCATTGGTAGAATTCACCCTCAAGTTCTCTGGTGCATCATGTATTATATACACACACGCATTCACGTGCAATTGCCATTCATCAAACTATGTGAAATACAAGTGGATATGACAAACAAGTGTAAATCCAGATGTTCATCAAAAGCACATCTTGCCGATCCAAGTGGTGGCCAACTTTTACCCGTGATGCCGCGCCTTTGTCTCGAAGACCCATCCGCGGCCGTCGGCCAAGTGCAAAAAACATGAACCGTTGACCTTAGCTTCCGAATGAAACATGTTTGAAAGTTTGGCGTCCTAAAGCAATAGCAGCCGATGACCAATGAGTGCCCATTCTTTCGTTTCATTCAAATTGTGCTTTCTTTTGAAGTCTCAAAACCAGTTGGTTACAATTGCATCTTGGCGAACCAGACCCTTCAAAAGGCCAAAAACTATGACCACAGCGCTGATATACCACTTCTTCAGCCAAAAAAAACATTAAAAAAATCATCTGAAATCTGTGAAACCAGCAGAAACCATAAATTGACCAGGACAAGTCCACTGGTGATCATTACCCTCTGGTAAACTAACATAGCTATTGAAAATGGCCATAGAAATAGTGAGTTTTCCCATTAAAAATGGTGGATCTTTCCATAGTTGTTTGTAAAAGTTTACCAGAGGGTATCCACCACCAGTCGAAAGATCCCCCGAGATCTCCGGCCACCCTTCGATCATCCACCACCAGGACTTGCCCGGGATGAAGAAAATGTCCCACCCGCGCATCATCGGCGTAGGTGGGTGAAGCGCGAATCTGGCATCGGCCAAGCGGCCAAGCGGAGCCATGATACATGGATAGACTGTATAGATAGATAGATATGATACATGATAGATAGGGTAAAATCTATACCATGATAATAACATAGATAGGATAAATTGGAAAGGTTGGGAAGATAGGATAGATTGGATAGATGGGATAGATCAGATACTGTAGATGCATATATCAATAGATTACAGTGTCTTATGAAAGTACACAAATATCATGTACTCATTGTTTCGAGTTTTACCGGTATAATCTAATCAAGACATGTTTGCCGTTGTTTAGAACATGTTTTTTCATCGTACATAAGGACATCCCTGAACTCTAAGGCTCTTAAACGAACTATTCCAATATCTATATACATATGTTACTTCGTATGCACGTATATGCGAAAACGCCTATGTACATTTATACAAACATAACATGATTGATATGTGTACATCTATGTTAACATGTATACAACAAAGGTATATGTAAATGCCATATATATATATATACATTACATACATATGTATTAATATAGAGATAGAGAGATCAAACACACAGTGAATTGTCCCTGGGCTAAGGGAAGTTCAAAGACCGCTATTCTGTGGAAGATACCTAGCATCTGACGAATTAAAACTCAGGACTTATCAGGTCTTATCAGGACTTATGAACTCATAAATTTTGAACTCATCGACCCCAGTTCCTGGCTATCCCTAGGCTATCCCGTGGTCAGGTCTGGGTCAAAGGCAGCTTGGAATGTGAGAAAACGATCGATAACGCTGGAATACTGAAAACAATCAAGAGTTTGGACGATTTTTGGACCGCCTTATTTTGGGAGTCCCCGACTAACCACCATCTGACGTCATTACAACTCACCCAAATGATTCTTGGATATTGTTGGTTAGGTATACTACGGTATACCCCACTATAAACAGTACATCCCCATGAATATCCCCAGGAATAGCACATCAAATACCAACTTGATTGGTTTAACATGATTTTTGTTGGTCAGTTGAATCCCATTATGTTAAGTCCACTGAATCCACAGGACCTCCACATCATCTTTGCACATCACGGTGAAGTAGCGCAGCTGCCGCCCTTGGAAAGCAAGGCCCAAACCTTGGAGTCAGATGACCCAACCCCAAAAAAGATATGGAAAAGTCATCTACCGCTCTTTCAGTGGGATTTTATTTTTAATACGGTTGGGTGGTTGATTTATAAGTTACTTCTTTCATATTCTTTCCCAATTTTTAAGTTCACTGCATGAAACGGCCTGTGCCTGTGCCTTTACTGTGCTAGATTCTCAGATCATAAAATCCACCAAAAGCACAGGGAAAACATAAAAACTCCACCAAAATGGTGATAATGCTGATAGAAATCCAGCAAAATATGGTAAGCTGGTCAGAATTTGATGGGTTTCAAAATGCGTTCAAGCTCCCCATGTTTAACCTTAATGTGTTAACTGAGGCCGAGGCCCATTGCATCCACAGGGGTCGCCATGTGTCCTTCAGAAAAGGATGCAAAAGAACAAGTTCGAAATCCTCAAGAAATCCGGAACCTGATTGAGCGAACCAAATGATCCAAGAAGGTCTGCTTCAGCATGCAGAAATCATTTCAACTAATCCTCCGGCAGCTGCCCCAGAAGCTCCTGGGTAGGCCGCAGGCTGCACCGCAGGCTGCACCGCAGGCTGCACCGCAGGCCAGGGCGCCACTTGATGTCCCACTTCTGGGGCTGGGAGGACCTGCCTGAGCGGTAGGAATGCCCTCTATTGAAAATCATCAGGTCATCTGGAACCTCTCCCCCCCCCAAAAAAAAATAATGAGTTCAATTCACATTGTTTGCCTGAAAATTAGAATGCCCCGACTTTAGGGCAATTTCAATAGAGTAAATGAGGGATTCGCGGTTCCCTATTTTCGGACAAACCCATCTTATCAACCCCAAAACCGTGCAACACAAAAAATGACTCAACATGACCAACAATCATTGCTGCCCGGCCAGATTGGCACTTGCGCCACCGCGGGCGAGGGCACAGGCCTCATATCCCCCAAGGGATCGGCTCGTCAACAGAAAGGTAGGGGAATGTAGGGGATATCCCAAAATGGTTATGTGTATTGGGAAAAATGATCAACCCTGGGTTTTTTGGGGTCCTATCTTCAGTCAAACTGAATTCTTTCCAGGGATTGGCATTTCATCAAGCACCAAAGTGTGCATTATGGTACTTAGTAAACCCCTGGGTAAGTAACTGAAAGGACCTAAAGTTCCTAAAGAAGTGATTTCATTTGGTACTGAAATGACACCACCCCCAATTTCTTACAGCCAAGGGGGTTGTCCATCCGGTGTTGACAATACAACTACGACCAACAATAATGGGGTGGTATGGGCCACATGAGGGATCACCAAAACTGACCTCACCACTTGTGGAGATAGGGCCCAATTTGCACCACTGGAACTTACTGGACTTCTCTCCCTCTGTTCGCCGTTCTCTTTGCCACTAAGTCACGGCCGGGCACCGAGTCCTCTCCAACGAAAGGTGGGTGTAGAGTTGCTGATGTTGGGCACATGATAAGCTTGATTTGTTGTAAAGATTCCTCAAATACAGTTTCTGTCTGGGGTGAGCAATGCACTTCAGAAAACCTCCCAGAGAGTCGTCTAAGAAACATTGGCGAGGAGCGCCAACGATCTTTTAATGTTTTATTGCGAGCAATTCTCGTACACGTCCTTGCACAGAAGCACGGCCAGAAGCGTCTTGCCTGTTCACAGACATGCTTCCACTGAGTGGCAGGAGCAAACAAGCAAGCAAACTTTCTGGTGGTCCACTGTGTCAAAAAAATGTTCCTGGTTTCATCAAGAACTGCTTCCTTATGATTCATTAGAGTGCATGAACAGACTGTGTAAACTATGAACCATCCCCAATTGGGGCTTGACATACTTTGGTATACTGCATATACCTCCATCTGGAATTAAAATTTTAAAATGACCCCCAGTTGTTGGTTGGTGAATGGGATTGTTTCTTATTGGCTAAACACGACATGAAATCCATCCGCCTTAGCCAATTGAATCTGGTTGGATCTTTCTATACCACGCCTTGCATGCAACGCCGGCGACTCGTCAAAGGGGTCAGGCCTTAGCACTGAAACTTTCTCCATGTGAATTGATGGTAAATCCCCTCAAAAGCGCTTGGGAAACCCAATAACACATCATAAATCTACCAGAATCTAACATTTGGGGATGGTTTATACGTTTATACCCATTTATGATGATTTTGGGCATGCGTCATGGTGATTGAGTTTACTAATTCTCTTTGGGCAAAGCCGAGAATGCGCTGGGAGCTGGACTTCTTTGAGCCCCCCTGGTGCGCAGCATGGATGCAGGGTCCCTTTGTTAAGTCTGAAAAAAAAAGCTCGATGTTTCTGGGAACCTCATCCAGGTAGGTTACCTGGATTTGTCCGAAAATGTGGTAATTGCCTCCAAGTGATGCTGAGTTGCCTCCTATCCCCCTTACCCCCCTTGGCCTTCGCAGCTTGGTTCGCCAGCATGTGCCTGGTAGGAAAAGCCAAATTCTTCAGGTCTTTCTGGGGGAGCTCTGACCATATATGGTCAGGTTCCAATGTCAAAGGAAACTACCACACACCAAAGACTTCTATCTAACGAGAAAGGCTCTTTCTTTCTCTCAACACAGCCTAAACCCGCTATCATCCTGTCTACTGCTGGGTTGACTAGGGGTTCCCATATTGGATTCTGACGATGCCTTTGAACTCATCAGCCTGAACCAACACCAAATCATCATTTCTGAGCCAAATTCCCTTGCAGGTTGAATCCCTGATTTTCGAAATTCCCAATCGATTCACAGCCATCAAGGGGTCAAACAGCCAGTTCCGCGTGGATTTTCCTCGCCTCTTCAGCCAGTTCTGGTCAAACATGGTGCCAGATCCAAATGGGAAGCGATCTGTGACTGTTGATGGTGCCCTTCACTGATGAGTGTGTCACAAAATGCCTCCAGGCCTCCAATGAAAATTGCCATTTTCATGGGGGAACCTCCAATAAAGATGACCAGTTTCACAAGGAGGGAAAATGATGGTTAAGGTTAGTTTTGGGCTTTGCCATTGAATGCTTTTGGAAGACCGTTCTTTGGTGGTAGCTATGGTATCCCCCACAATGGGGCTGGGGGAGTTGAGCTTCCAAGGCATCCTCATCTAAATGAAGCAACAATGTGGTCATTTACAATGAAGAACAAGCACATAGAATCACATAGAGTGGGATCAGAACCTAGGTTGATGACTTCACACAAGCTCTAGCTGTGGCTCATGCTGAAGCCAAACAAATCTGCAGCAGTTGTACCCGCCATGCCTGTGGTCTCAAGCTTCTAGTTCAGCGGGGGGGTCCGGCTGTTCTTTCGCTCTCAACAGAACATTGCAGTTGCGCGCGATGTTTTCTGAGGGTGAAATATGCCATTCGCGTCCTGCACGAGATTCGCGCAGTCAAGCTTCGAGGGTTTGCTGCAGGTCGCAGCAAGTCCTCTGGAATCACGTGCTGTGAAGGTGTGAGACCGGGAGTGAAACTCAAATGTGGCCGAAAAAGGGTGCGCATCAACACAAATTCATGATGCCTGACCTCTGGCATAAACTGCAAAAATGAGGCAAAGGTGTCAAGATCTGCATCCCTTCACGTAGAAACATCTCTAGCATATCGGCCAGGAATCTGCCCTAGAGCCGTCGCTCGCGCACTCTCGGCAGTGGACGCATCCTGTCAGATGCGATTGACATCATCAAATCATCTTGATCATTGGTAAATTGAGCCATGAGTATGAGGTATAAAATGGTTCATCTTCGGGTAACACTTGATCAATAACCATTGGGAAATGTTTTGCCCGTTGGTAAATGGGTATCCACCTTACTGAAAACTGATGAGTCAAAGGCACTGGGATCCCGCGCCAATTCAACCTTCCAGCGATGACGTCGTCAACAGTATCTAGCCTTGAGCCGTTGAAAAAGGAAACAGCCAGAAGGCCTTGAGAAAAGAAGAGCTCAACTGGCAAGAATTAATAAATGAACTCTATAAATATATATATATAATTGAACATACATTTATCTGTGAGAAAAAGAAAAAAAAGTTTTTCTGTGAATTCATCATCATTTATCCGATAAATCTCTGTTTTTCATCCATATCTTGGTTTTTGTAGATACCCTGAGCTTCCCCACAGGAGACGATCCAACACTTCGCCCGCCGAATCTTGGAAGGCATCCAGGTCAACCTGCAACGCTGCACTGGAACATACAAAAAGCCATGGAAATCCATAGGAAATCCATAGGAAATCCATAGGAAATCCATAGGAAATCCATCGGTTTTAGGGGGAAATGATCTGCTTTCATTTTAGTTGGCTGGAGCGCAACGCTGAAACTTGGAAAACCTTTGAACCCTATTTGCTTGCTTGTTGTTGAAATTTGAAGCATTTTGGAATTGAGACATGACCATTTTGAGATTTGATCCACTGCGATTCACCTAATCCAGCCATCTTAGCCGGTGTTGGCTTGCAAGTTTACAGGATACAACCCGTCAAAGCGCAGCTCTCTCTCTCTCTCTCTTCAAACAGCATTCCGCAGAAGGAGTTTGGGGGTTGGATAATGAGAAACGGTGCTTCTGCGAATCCGATCATTCCTACTTGGGACCTGTGGTAAGTCACTCCTGCCTGCTTGTAAAAAGTCACCCTGATGGGCACATGTGATTAGTCAAGTTAATTCCCAGTCACCCCATCTGTTCAAAAGGTAATAGATAGACTCAAACATCTTCAGACCCTAAAAGCCGCATTGGACTCATCTGAAACAAAATTAGTCAATTGCGATGATCCAAATGATCCAACCATTTCGTCTATAAACCCACCAGAAGCCAAGCGAATGGTCTGGTTACCCCCTTCCAACACCAGCCACCAGCCTCGCCATACATCTCCAAGCCTTCCTCCCACGACCTGGCTCCAAGGTTTCTTCAGTATTTCAAGGTGTTGATAACAAATGATTGGGGAACTGATAGGGGACGATAGAGGATGCTGCTACGGGATGATAGGGGATGATTTTTTGCCCAAATCGTGGCGGCCTGATGGGCTGTGTTTCTGGCGTCAGCAGCGTCTCACTCGCGTCAAGTGAAAGTGTCTCCGCCACGTTGCGCCTTGAATCGACAGAAGAGTCGGACCCGCAGAGAAATGAACTTCTAGAAATGGCTAGTCAACATTGACCCATCAAATGGTACGAGCAACATGTTGCTGCACCCGCATTGACTAGAAAAGTGTATGTATATTATATATATATACATATATATATATATACCCAACTTGAACAGCCGAGAGCCAGACCCACTTGGAGATCTTGGAGAAGAAGAACAAGGTGCACTTTGCCCTCCAAGACAAGATCGGCGTGCGAAACTTGAAGCACTGCCATTTCAGCTTAGCTCCGTGGACACGATAGCTGCTATTCTCCGTGGGGGGTTTGCAGTAGAGGCCATTTATGAGGTTTCAATAACACAAACACAACCCAAATGAACCCGCACGGATCATGTTTCTGCCTTCATTCCCAGTCAGAATCTATGGTTATAGCAGAATGATCATTGATTTTTCATGGGATCATGAAAATATATTAAAATCATTATATAATTCCATGATTATCCCATGATTATCCCATTATAACTGTATTTCCAGCCGCTGGGCGCCGTGGCCTGTTTTCACCGACTTCCTGGGAGCCGACACTGGCGCCAGCGGTGCCTTGAAGTCCATCAGAAGATCCGACCTCAGATGGGCCAAAGAGTGGGTATATTTATACTGAGATTTTGTGTTGTTATTGATATTGCTATTATTATCAGTAGTAGTAGTAGTAGTAGTAGTAGTGGTAGTAGTAGTAGTAGTAGTAGGAGTAGTAGCAGTAGTAGTAGCAGCAGCAGTAGTAGTAGTAGTATGTAGTAGTATTATGTAGTCGTTGTCATAGTTGTAGTCGTAGCCATTATTCTTAGCATTATGACATGTTTGTACACATATCAAAAATATGTCACGTCCACATGAATACATATGTATCTGTAACATACATACAGTTACATATATATATATACACCATTACACATCATTATCTACAATATAATATATAGATATACAAACATCCATGAATTATTATGTATATTAAGTCGATGCCATAAATTCTCTGCTGGAATCAGTACATCAGGCACCACCACTCCCTGGCCCCTGAGGGCCTGAGGGCCCAACCATGGCAGGGCACTGCCGGTAGGAACCTCGAAGTTCACATCCTCGTCACTCTCCGGCTCGAGTGGAGGAACCGACCTGCAAGATGACAAAAAAAGGAAGATATCAAATGGGAAATCATCAATGGAGGTTTATATATATATATAGCTGGGAAAATCACTGAACTAGAAATCAGGGATTTTCCAGCCATGTTTGCTTGCCAGAGCGCAAAAATATCCTTAAAATCCGATCTGCCTTTAAGAAATAGGCAAAGAAAACAACTGTTGATGAGATAAAACGTCAAAACAGCTACAGTACACAGGAATGACGACTTTTGGCAGTTTTAATCTTCGGCAGTCATCACAGAGGTCCCAGACTCTTCTGCTGGAGGCTCCTGTCAACAGAATCCAAACATTTGCGTGACTAGCCGTGGCAGGTTACATGTGACAGATTCGAAGCGAGAGGGGTGAAGTTAAATGGAAGACTGAAGAAAATACCTACTACTCCCATGCCCTTAATAAACAAAACCCAGAAACCATGGCTTAGTATGGGATTTACCCCTTAAACCAAGACCATAGAATCCATAGAATTAATGGTGGTGTTTGATACTTTGGGGATGGGATTATTCTGTCAAAATCCATTGATGATGATTCAATCCCTCAAAATATCTATAGTATTGTTGGTTATATCTCTCTTGATGTCCCCTTCTGAAAAATCCCATGAAAAAAAAACATGAAAAAACTCATGAAATCCCACTCAAACAAGCGTTATCATATCCACCCTCCTCCAAAGTTCGTGGCTGCAGCTCGGGCTCTGGAGCGGCCTAAAAGATGCACAGTCAATGGGGTGTCAATCCACCTTTACCACCATGAAAAAGTTGTTGTTTTTATCGATTCAAAAGGGATTGAAAAGAGATTGAAGTGGATTCAAATCAACATAAATCAACTCAAAGTGACCAACATGTTTTAATAAAAGCGAAAAGATGGATTGAAATGGGAGAGCCAACCCACCGGAAAGAAAACGAACGTCCCCACCTGGTGATCTGGAGGCGGCAGCTCAGGCGGATCACTATTTTCAAACTGCTGGAAGAAGGGCACGTCCTGGAAGATGTGCTGAAAGGACAAATTCTCAATGTGATGATCTGTGATGATGGTGATGGCCATTGAAAATGGATACGAAAATGGCATCCGGACAATGGCTCTATCGGATATGCTCGAGGAAAATCCCCCAAGAGGGATTTCGCCAGGGTCCCAGGGGTCCCAGGGGTTCCCGGGGATTCCAGGCCTGGGACAACATTTTGTCCAAAATGTTTCCGAACTCTTCTTCTCTCAGGACCTGGGACATGGATTCACCGGATTCCAAGGACTGAAGGGATGATGAAGATCTGATTCAAGATCCCAAAATTGATGTGAGTCATGGTTGATTCTTACCACCCATTGATGTAATTTATGGTTGATGATTGGGTTTACCAGATTAAACCAATGTCAGAATTCCTGGAAAACAGCAAACGCAGCGCTGCAGCGACACATGATGCAGCCTCCCGCATCAAATGCTCCAACACGCTTCCAGCAAGCTTGAAGTTGTTGGTCTCTTCCTCTGGCTGACCTGGGAGTGTTCCACAGTGGAGAAATCAGTGCTGGGACTTAAAGTTGGTTCTGCTCTTATCTCTTTCAACAAAAGAAGAAAAAACTACTGGAGCCAGTGAAGGTCTTCAACTTCTCTTGCAGTCCTTGTATTAGCCATTCTTCTCAGAAAGCACATCGAAACATTATCTTCTAACATGCAAACAGGGTAGCATCTCGTCTTAAGCAATGATTGATTAAAGAGTTATTTGGGTCGTTGTTCTGGTATCGCCACATGCGCGGCATTCAACAGAGAAGCATCACCACAACAAAAAAGATTAGATGCCCACATCTAAATAGATTTTGAGTAGTATTATATATACAGTATATATACACATGGACACATTCATCACATACATCGCAAGTCTTTGCAGTTTTGGAGATTGCCGCAATCCACATGGCTGTGGGCCCCTTTGGTAAGTCCTCGCTATGGATCATGGGAACCCATCATGGAAAAATGTGAAGGTTTCCCAAAATGGGGGGTACCCCCAATTTTTATCATCCATGATAGGAATTTCCATGAAAAACCTTCCAGCTATTGGGGTACCCCAGTGACTTAGGAAACCCCCAGTGATGTTTCCCATGATTTTCCCATCAAAATTGCTTTCCGAATGGATCCAACCTGGCGGTTCCATGACCATCTCCTCCTCTTCGGGCGCCGGCGACCTAAGCCAAGCTGATCTTCCCGGTCATCAAACGTGGCAATGGAAAAATCCCAAAAAAAAGGGAGGTTTTTGTGGGAAAATCGATGAAAATCGTCTATAAAGGGATGATTTTCCATTGCCATGCTTGATTACCAGAGGGTAAGTTGATCTAAACTGATCTAAGCTACTATCGATCCATCAAAGTGATTTGGAGATCGCACAAAGAAGTCCTTTTGGGAAGCGTCGCTATGCGTAGCTGGCTGGACATTTCTAGAGCTATCTGCTGCTGAGATGCAGAGTGGATGACTGGCGCTGATAGTCTTTTGATCCTGGTGGCTCCTGCACAAATTGCGCTCGTAACGTGCTGTTACCCTCTGGTAATGACTAACAGTTTGCGAACTTGAAAATGGCCCAGTCGAAATAGTTGATTTACCCATTAAAAATGGTGATTTTTCCATAGTTATGTAAACGTTTACCAGAGGGCAACCCAAAACTCCAGCCACCATCCCCCGTGACCCAAGCCCAACGGATTGCAGGAGATCAGTCCTCCACTCCAAGGTTCAGCCCAGCGGGATTGGTGGCATCCTGGGCACTCGATTCATATGGATTTTGGGTGGATGTTTGGCAAGAAACCTATTTACCCATTGTTACAATAGATGTGGGTCATTAAATGTCCCCATTGAACATCACCCAACCATTAGGTATATGGTCTATAATGGCTACTATAAGGTGATGTCCAATATTCCCAAAATGGGACAGTTACCAACCCCTGATAGATGGGAAACACACAGAAGAGTTCAGGCGACCGCTGAAACCCCGCTCCTTGGCTTCCTCCTTGGTGAGTTGCTGCGCCAGAAGGTTGCGCGCACAGCTCTCAACGACAAAGTCCTGGCAATGGGATACCATGGGATTTGACGTTCTATCTCTGTCCGAAGCTGCAACTTAGCTACAAGTGGCCAAGCACAGCAGCCCACCCCACCTTTCTCTCTTCTGGTTTCACCATCCAATCAGCCACCACCGCCTGTCAGGGACAATTTTCTCAACATTTGGCACTCAAATTGACCTCCCCAAAAGTGCCAAAAATCACTCCTTTGTCCCGATCTTTTGCTGCAAAAGATAGGGACGCAAATCCATCTCAGCCACTCACCCTGAAGGGCCTGAAGGGTCCCATATTCTAAGCAGCTCCAAACCCCTCCACTGAGTCTGGCACGCGCAGGCGCACGTAGAGTGGGTAGGAGGTGGGAGAGCTGGGCACTTGCGGACCCCGAGACGACTCATCCATACTGCTGGAACCTCAGCACCATCCCAGCTGTTTCTCCAAAAATGAGATTTCAAAACTGACTGGTTCATAAGATTTTGAGAGGAACTAAAGAACTGTTGAACACACCAGGCTATTTCCAAGATGTTCTAACCATTACCAGTTTCCAACCAGGGACACCATCGCTGCCTTGGTGTCAACCCGGCTCCACACCAAGGGACTCTGCATCCCCGGAAGTTCTTCCTTACTCTGCAAGGCCAAGCCCATGGTGGAGGTCTGCATGGCCTCATTGCTAAACCCTCCAGTCATGGGAATCTTAATAGTGGGAATAGCAACCAACCAAAAAGGGGATCATATGGGGATATTCATTCGTTTACCCAACCTGTCATTCCACGAAAATCACGAAATACTGCCTGGCTAAGAACGGATTTCCCAGCTCATGGATTGTGATCATCCCCCAATATATTGGATAGTATAACCAATGTAATCAATCAGGAGGGGTTTGAACATTGCTCAGATGTTGGTTCCATTTCGGCAGTCTCTGAAAATATAAGTTTTAACTGGTTTCATACTTCAAAACTCCATTGTTGATCATCATGTTCCTCCTTGAAACAGTTAATATGACCCCGTAGAACTGCCAACCACCAGTTTAAGGGATTGCTTGGAGGATCTGTGATTAGGTCATTGGATCTGGATTTCAGGATCTTTCGGTTTTTTTCAGAGAAATTTCACCCTATGTAGACATCTTAAACAGATTTCAACCAGCATTTCGGATGCGAAACCGGCTGCAACTGTAACGGAACCTTTTTGGATCGATCGAAATCACCGAGTTCCAAACGCGGCGTGGTGACATCACCGGAATATGCGACCTCGACAAGCGCAACTTTGTTCAACCACGTGGACTACGTGCAACCACCAAATTGATCCAAATGTTCATTCAAAGCAAAGCAACCACCTGTCTTCAATTCATGAAATGATAGTTTTTTTAAAAAAATGACGTGCCCATACGCAAAACTGAGTCCTGGACGAAAGCACTGAGGTGCGGTGAAGGTTCTCGTTCAGAAACTTCTGGCCCGCTGCAGTCGACATCAAATTTCGGAACCTGGCCATGGTGAAGCCGTGCAACAACACCCTGTTGGTTCAATCTTCATTTTTACTTGTGAAATCCTGTCCCATGTTTCCTATGCAACCCCACAATCTTGCGAACAGTGTGCTTACCAGTAGTACCGGGCAAGGCGGTGGCAAAAGTTTCAAAAATAAGAAACCTATAGGAGAGGTGAGATATCATGATGCGTGGATGGCGGAGCGAACCAACTGGAGGAAAGAAAGGTGGTTGAGGTTCTGGGTCTCCTCTCCCTCTCCCTCTCCCTCTCCCTCTCTCTCTCCCTCTCCCTCCCCTTCTCTCCCTCTCCCTCTCCCTCTCCCTCCCCTTCTCTCTCTCTCTCTCTCTCTCCCTCTCCCTCTCCCTCCCCTTCTCTCTCTCTCTCTCTCTCTCTCTCTCTGTCTCTCTCTCTCTCTCTCTCTCTCCCCCCCTCTCTCTCTCACTCATCTAATCTAATCAAAATCTAATCTAGTCTAATCTAAATCTAATAATCTAAATCTAATCTATTCTATCTAATCTATCTAACCTAATCTGATCCAATCTAATCTAAATCTATCTAATCTAATCTGATGTAATCTGAATTTATTTAAACTATCTAACCTACTCTAATCCAATCCAGTACAATCTAAGCTAATCTAATCTAATCTAATCTAAGCTAATTGTTCTAATCTATCTAGTCTATCTAATCTACCGAATCGATCTAATCTAATCTACTCTAATCTGATCTGCCTAAGCTTATCTTGACCTAATCTAGTCTTGTCTAAACCCGCTCATCTATCTATCTATCTATCTATCTATCTAGCTATCTATCTATCTGTCGGTCTAGCTATCTATCTATCTATCTATCTATCTATCTGTCAATCTATCTATCTATCTAACCGCCTGTCAGCCTATCTATCTGTCTGTCTGTCTGTCTGTCTGGCTGGCTGGCTGGCTGGCTGTCTGTCTGTTTATTTTTCTATCTATCTATATCTATCTATCTGTCTCTCTCACTGTCTATCTGTTTCTCTGTCCATGTACGTATCTCTCTGGCAATCTCTCCCAATCTGTGTGTGTGTGTCTCTCTTTCTTTCTCTATCTCTCTGTCTCTCCAACTCTCCATCGCTCTCTCTCTCTCTCTCTCTTCCTCTATCTTTCTACCTATCTATCTTTCTGTCTGTCTACCTACCTATTTCGCTCTCTCTCTCTTTCTCTCTCTCTCTCTCTCTCTCTCTCTCTCTCTCTCTCCCCCCCTCGATCTCGAGCTCCTTGTCCATCTCTATCTCTACCTCTTTCTCTACCTCTGTCTCTTTCTCTATCTATCCATGTAGCGACCTATGTATCTAATTGAAATGAAGCAATTCTGCGACCCTTCCTCAATGTTTGAATTGGACAGCATCAAAAACGAAGCCATTCCGCGAGACATCCTTATTTTTTGAACTTGACAACATCAAAAACGAAGCAGCGCGAGACTTCCTCAACTTTTGAGCCTGACAGCATGAAAAACGAAGCAATTCTGCGAGACTTCCTCAATTTTCGAAGTTGACAACATCAAACGAAGTAATTCTGCGAGGCTTCCTTCACAAATGGAAACTTGAGTGCAGAGCTGATGGCCTCGTACCAATGCGTTTTGCGATTTTTCTACTCCATCTGTTTAAAGTACTGCGCCTGCCACGAAAACTTGAGGCCGGGCCATACAAAGTGCCGCACCTGTCACGCAAAATCACCTTAGCAAACCTGGATCTCATGCTCCAAAATGCAACCCATCTCAGGAAATCAGCGCACTGGCCTCCTGACATGTCTGACGCATGTGCCGCTTGTACGGCGCCCGCCACGCAAAATGCATCTTTGCAGAGGTGCAGAATCGATTGCGCCTACCACACAAAACGAACGTCCAAAAGTGGTCCGAACATGTTGTGCTTCTGCCATTTTGACGTCGCCATGTGCTTCGCGCTACAACGCCGTGTGCTTCTTCAACATCTCAACTTCCAAAAATGCTCTGAGACCGAGGTGTTTTGAGCATTTTGACTTGAAACTCTGCTTCACACACCACAGCGGCGTGCAGTTTCTGATTTCTCATCTGACCAGATGTCTCCGCACCTGCCGCTTTAGGGAGCCTACTTTTCGAGAGACGGGTACATCACAACGATTTAATACCATGAATCCAAACCACGCTTGGGAACGGTTCAACCACGAAAAAAAATGCAAGTTTCAAACCACAATTTGGTTATTTCGGCAGCACGTATACTAATTAAATCCGCCCACACCGCTTTGGCGGTGAAGGCGTGCTTATTGGGGGGCAACAGCAACACTAAATGCTCAATGACATTTGTTAATATAGCAGTCGCTATATCAGCTTTAGCTGGGGGGGGGGCCAAAAACGGTTTCGCACCGAGACCAGAATACGGTGGTGTTTTCGACATTTTTCGAGGATTTTTGGGTGTCTGAGCGCAAGAGGGTATTGAAATGGAATTTTGGGTCATTTTGGTAGCTTTCCGGCAATGGAAAAACGGCCAAAAATGAAAAAAACATTGTACATAGCAAGATTTTGCAGGGTTTTTGGATGCCAGAGCATTGAAAACACTGCAAAAACAAGTGTTTTGGACTGACGTTATAGCAAAAAACGTGTAAATTACCGTATGCTTGACTGGAAACATTACAAAAACACTGTCAAAAGCAATGTTTTGGAAGGATTTACTGCCTTTATGGCAAAAAACGTGTAAATTACCGTCTGTTTGACTGGAAACATTGGAAAAACACTGTCAAAAACAATGTTTTGGAAAAATCATATATATAGATATATATATGTTGGAGTTGGCTACCGGCATTGGCACATGGAAAAATTGAAGAAAACACTGTAAATAGCGGTATTTTCAACGGTTGGGGAGATAAGGGAATTGGAAGCATTGTCGAACATGATGTTTTCGACCGGTTTTATGGCGACAAAAGTGTAAAGTACCGTGCTTTGAAGGAAACCATTGCAAAAACATGGAAACACATTCAAAGAACACGGGATTTGGGGGACTATCTAGGCGTCGTTGTCTAGCTATTTGAAATTCCGCAGCTTGGGAAGCCCCCACGGGGGGGAAAAGTGAAAATTCCCTAGCTTGGGGAGCCCCCACGGGGGGAAAAGTGGGAATTCCCTAGCTTGGGGAGCCCCCACGGGAGGGAAAAGTGAAAATTCCCTAGCTTGGGGAGCCCCCACGGGGGGGAAAAGTGAAAATTCCCTAGCTTGGGGAGCCCCCACGGGGGGGGAAAGTGAAAATTCTTAGCTTGGGGAGCCCCCACGAGGGAAAACCACCCTTAGCCCCTCTCACGGACCGAAATAAACCTGCGGTGTGGGCGGCCACCCCACGCGAAGCGGGGTGAATATTTGTTGTAGGTCTCGTGTTGGTTTGATTTGGTTGGTTTTTTGTGTGCATATTATTGTATCTGTATAGTTCGGAATAGGGGTCATATTATACCTCGATGATGTGGCATTCCATTTGGACATGTTTCTATGACTTTAGTTGTACACTCGGGAATATCAAGGGAAATGTTCATTATATATTCTACATTTCAGAGGCTCTACGAACCGGATATGGATGTCAAGATGAATCCGCATCTTTATTTATACTACATCATATGAATATCCGCCGACCCCGCTTGCAGCAGGGGGAGCGCGTCAGAGGAGGAATTACCAGCAGCAAGGGCCAAGAAGTCATTACAAGCAGCAAGGGCAAGAAGCAAGAAAACATGAAAGAAGAAGCAAGAAGCAAGAAGCAATTACAGGCAACAAGCGGCAAGAAGCAAGAAACAAGAAGCCAGGAAGCAACAAGCGGCTGGAAGACAGGTCAGAGAAGTCATTACAAACAGCAAGGGCAAGAAGAAAGAAAACAAGAAAGAAGAAGCAAGAAGCAAGAAGCAATTACAGGCAACAAGCGGCAAGAAGCAAGAAACAAGA